TTTAAAACGACTTTCCATAGCGCATGACCCCTGATCCAAATTAATCCCTTACTACAATATTGTTTCATAAAATTAGAATAATCTATTTCGGAAAAAATAAGCTCAGTTTTATAAAAGTGAATTTCTGAATTTCCGAGTCTACAACATTAATTATTTCACCCCCGCTAGCGCGGTATGCCGTGACTGCCGCCGTGATTTTGCATATAATTTTCTACTCAATAAACGCTACGTTTATTATGCGTCTGAAGTATGAATGAAACTGAAATTGAAGTCAACCTAATAATAATAATAAAATTTACTACCATTCTTATGACATACGACTGCAAATACAAATTAACGAATTTATATTTTGTTCTTGTTAATTATGTTGTTAATATTATCGATGAATGATGAATCGATATTCAAAGACAAGAAAAGATAGTATTGAATGGATCTGTAATAAAACAGGTTATATTTAGTTGCAAGTCACGGACTAGATTACCGTGAGACGTCGCACTTTCGATCTGGAAGACAGATGTTTGATACTTATTTAATTTCTTATAAAAAATCAGCTTGTATATAGAAGGTAAAATAATGTAATAAATAAAGTATATCAAACTATACAAAAATATTTAATATGTATTAAATGAGCTCCAGATTTTAATTTTACTATTATTGTTATCTCAATCTTTTACATAAATATTACTAATACACATTGATGTTAAAGTAATATAATAATATACGGAACAATCAAAAATATCGTGAAAAATTAACTTTGTAGTACAAAAACAAATTATTTTTGACTGGATTACAATAGAGAAGCTAAAAATAGTTTTCAATAAGAATATCTTACAAGCGAATTTATTATAAATTTAGAGAGGAGAAAACCTCTACTTTAAACACGTCAGATACACGTGGTTCCTTAATCATGTGCAGAACCTACAAAGGTATTATTTTCAAAGACTCCGCGAACGTTCCTACACACAATATAAACTACTAGACAGCAAATGTAATAAGATTAATAAGAGTATCCAAAGAAAAACAGGTCCCATCAAATAAGTGGCAGTGGAGTTAGCGAATTGAATTGAATAAAACACACAAGTCCGCTAACGAGCCGGTGTTTACCCAAGTGGACACTAATTGGCTTAGCCAGTGGCCACCGCCGTACTCAAAACAAAACAATCTAAGCTTAGCATATGAATAGATACGGTATTTTTGCAATTTTTTCGCACTTTCGTATGAAATATTTGCATATCTGTTTTGATCGCCGTCATTGTGTGTATTGTTGCCAACGGTGTGTCCTATTTTACGGTTTCTTAAAAAGTTTTACATTGTTTTCATATTTTAGGTGTATACCTAATCTGATCAAATTCTACTCTTTGTATTTTGTGCAATAAAGATGGAACGAAAAATAACGAAATTAACTATATAATTTCTTTATGACGATACAAGATGTTGCTAATGTATCTTTTTATTATTACATGTGTTCATGAATATTATAAGGTAAGGTTATATTGTTATTATCTTTATAATTTTTATAACATATTAGAGATGCCTTTATGTTACCATATCCATATTCTTTCTTTCTGAAACAAAAACTGAGTCACGAAGACCTCTGAATGAGAATGCAATCACTGTAACTCGAACACTATTTATATAAGACATTTAACTTTTTGTGTCTAGTTCTTTATTGGTCTTATCTGATTCCGGTTATTTTTTTATATTAAATTTATTTTACTTGACATTTATACAAAAAGAAGTTGTATATTATACTTTTATAAGCTAGGTAATTTTGGTATTTGCCGCAAGGCAATCGTTAAACTAGGTACACACTTTGAATGAACACAGTAAAGGAAAATTTAAATAAACACACTCAAGTTTACCGCGACGAAATGAGCTTGAAATAAAAGCAAATATTCTTATTAATGTGCGGCATTTATTATGGCTGTATACATTCGGTTTACTTGTTTGACTAACACAAGAAGAATAATTTACAAAAAATATATATAAGTAAGAAATAAATGTAATTAATATAAGATTTATAATAACAAGTAAAGTAAGAGTAATTGTTGAAGTGTTAATCCAAGGATCGTTGGTACGAAGGCTGCACTCGACGCTCGACTCCCGGCATATCTGCGGCTTGTATCTTGTGTTCAATTTGCATATAAATTGTGTCTTCCGGTCAGACACCCCGCCAAGACACACGTGCTTGATGTATCCCCGACCAAAACTTTATCATATCAACCAAATTGCATATTCGTTTGCATAACTTTACCAATCCCCAACTTAATGTATGAATATTTTATAAACTTCGCCCTAAAAATTATGTAATTTATATTAATTGCTTCATTTAAATCTAAAATATTAGACGATGACCAGGATGAATATATATTTTATGATTACTAAGTCAAATTAACGTCTATATTAGTCTTCATCAGTCCGTCCCGTAGCGGCAACAATAAAACGATGGAAAGAAACTAATTTTTCAGCAAATCATCTCCGACCGCATGAAGCCATCAATATTCATTTGGGGGCGCGCCTCCAAAACAAACACCTTCTAAAGTAGCGAAACATCATACCTTTGAAGGGAACACAAGCAACTATGACGTGGATGTTGGGTCGCCGGCGAAAGGGCCTAACTCAATTTGTATAGATAATTGCTTTGTTTTACAATCCCCACTACTTCAATAGATCATTAGATATAAACTTGTTTCGGTATTAATATGGATCTGATGATCAATTATAATTACTTTGTGATATAAATTTGAAATATATTCTAAAACACTTTGAATTAACTAAATTTTAACGATTTTGTGTAACCTATTTCAGTACCACTTACAAATAAAACATTACATTAAGAAATACAAGAAAATATAGTAAAGACAACATCGGATACACAGAAGTATATCGTCTTTTATAACTTGAGACTTTCATAGGCTGGCGTAGCTCCCTCACACAGATATATGTATTTTATTATCCGAGTGTTAGGACATTTTAAATGTTTTGGCTGTCTCCCCATAATATAAAACTTTAATGGAGTTAACTTAAAAAAGTAACAAAGTAACATCTAAATTTTAATAAAGGAGAAGTCATTAGTTACTTTAATGATAATTAAGGCGTTACATATAATTTTTTATTTGATAATGAAATTATGTAAAACCGATTAATACCATTAGAAATTAGCTGTAATCTCATATTACACAGGTATGTCGGCACATCCATCACGTCAATGAGGTTAGGAATATTGTTCGTAGATCAATTATAAATAAGCAACAATACAAAAATTAAACATACTGTTCATCATATCATATTAATAATAATTATTGTCAATGATGTAAAGGACAAATAAAGGTCGACAAACATAAAAAACAAACAAGTAAATCAAAATATATCATTGTATTAACTGGATGGAACTGGATGAATGGAAATATGATGCTTTACAGAATAATACCCCGACGTGCCAAAAGGATCAAACATGAAATATTATATATAATTTCTAATTTTTATAATTTTATTTTTCGTTATTTTGTACTAATCATAAATAAAATCTCTTAGTTATTTAACATTGGTCCACTTTTACACAACCGTGAATGCTTTGTAAAGTTCACGGAATAATGAATGTTTTTTTTTTTGCCATTTTGCGATGTTTAGCCATGAAAGTCTTTTCATATTTTTTACGTTCCTAACATTGAAAATCAGCTAACGACCTATTATATTATCATTGCTTATTGTTATGAAGCATTATTACCAATATATCGAAATTTGATAATAAAAAATGTTAGAGAGAATCTTTTACAAAATATGATATACATACATATTCATACTTTGCCTACTAATATAATCCATCGCCACGAGAAACCTCGGTCCATAATAATAAACCATACGGAGTGGTACATTTTGAAATTGGTTAACCTCCATTTTTGAAAATAGTATTGCCAAGTTTTCTTTTAACTTAAATATCACAAATTTTAAAATTTATTCCTAAGGGCTGCGTATAATTTCAATGAAAATTTAATATAATATGACCTCAAACAAAAAGTACTTGATTTTCAAAATTCTTTTATCAGATAAAACTTATCATCCACCAAAATAAGGTGGACGACGTTGGCAAAGCTCTATTGATAAAATGATTATTGAAACGAAGGCACTGTCGGATTGGTTTAGCCAGCGCACGTACGCGACCGGCCGTCATTACGAAGGCTCCGCGCCAAATTGCGACATCCGCAGCCTTTAGACGTTGCACTCTGCGCTAACCGACGAATTCTGACCAGTGTCATTATAATAAATGCTTTTCCATTATAACGTGCAAGGCTAAGCTTGATAAATTATGGTTTCATTTAGAATTTTGTATCGCAAATAACAAAAATAATAAGATAAAAATTTAATTCTCTTCTATACGAATATCCTAACATAATATCACCTAATAAAATATTTATATGTATATAATTTCAATGTAAATTTCTTACTTCTTCTTGACTGCGGTGGACACTAAAGGAAGAACTGTGTTTGAACATGTCTCTATGCACTTTTGTAAAATTGCTGAAAATTACGACTTTGTTACTTTTTAAATTACATAATATAATATTATTATTTAATCATACCACAACTTAAAGAAATGCCAAAAAAGAATAAAAATATACTAAAGGTAAGTTTAATATATTATTTATCTAAACGATATTATTATGTATTTATTACTACATATGAGAGTATTAACATTTTTACTTCTTATTGAAAAACATGGTTACTTTGACAAATTGTATATGTAAATACTATTTCTTAAGTCTTATTGGCACATATGTGACTGTATGTAAGGAAAATACAAAAGAGTAAGTTAAGAATTAGTAATTGTGTCGAAATAAAAGATTTTCAAACTGTAATATAAAATATGAAATACTTTTTTATTTCAAGGAAATTAATGCAAACGATAGGTAGGTACTTATGTACCAAGAAATATCTTCGAGCTCAATTATTTATCAATTAAATACAATTTAATCTTAGACATTTTGGTGATTTTAATAATATTAATACGACCGGAAAAGATATTCCCAGGTTTTTATTGTTCTTGTTATTTGTTTATTGTTAAGAAATACAAGTTCTGGCTGAACTAAAGCGCGGGTAGGCTTTTGGCCAAAGGCAGCCGACATAGCGACAACCCTCCACGACGGTCCCACGGCGTTGTTCGCTACTCCGTCCACAGTAACAAGCCACTGCTGTTTATTTTACCGCAATGAATTTTCTAGAAATATTTTCCTCGTTTTTTAATTTTGAATACATTTGAGTACAATCCTCTGTGGCAGTAGCGCGCCCCCGGCAATCTCCAAATTGCCTCTTTATGTGCAGATGTTCCGACCCTCGGTTTTTCCGTCTTTTGAATGTCGTTTGCTGTTAAATAACGTAGTCTATTATTGTAATTTGAATATTGTATGTTTTATTTCGGCATGTTAGGAATCACTGTACCAAGTCGTCTGCGGTCTCTATACAATCATCTGAAGCGCAGATGCTCAGAAAATATTCATTTGAATATGTACCTACTTTTTGTTATTTTTCATCCTTAACCTTGAATAAAGTAATTTTAAGAACGTTATTGTATTCAGTAACCTTTTAGAACGAGATCCCCAATTTTTGGAATTAACTCCCAACGAGAATATTTCTTTGAATTCGTTTTCGCTAAAGACCACAATTATACGTCTTACAAGATTCGAACTCATTTATTTTTTCTTACGAAAATAATTTCTCGTGAAACAAATTAATTGTTGAGCCTTATACTTATTTTAAAATCTGAATAAACTTGGAAAAGATTTCGCGAAAAAATATACGAACCAAAGGCCCGCGGCTACCGCCAAATTACGTCGTTATTTACAAGTATTTTCATCTTACCGGAAAAGGGATAATGTCTGCACGCGATATCTCATCGGTTTTATAAAAACTGTTGCTTTTACAAGTGTTCATGGTTTTATTATAAGGTAAATTAATTTTTTTCCGTTTTACGGTGAGTTAGATATATGTAAAAAATAAATCGATAATCGTTAGTTTATGTAATAATGAATTTTAAAATATTTAGATTTAAATAAAATTTTTTCGTTGAAAGTTTTAGCAAATTATAATATTATTTTCACTACAAAATGCAGTCTTCTTTTTTATTTTAAAGTACGTAGCCTACAGCCAGACTATTGACACAACATGATACCATCAAATTTCTTTAATTAAAAAAGAAATGATATGCACAGCCAATGCTCCTAATATTAAGCAAAGGACTGAAAAGAAGACCGTCGATTTTGGACAGTTATATGAAAATGAAATCGTAATCACAAATTTAAATAAAAACAGAACTTATAATATATATTGCATACACACCATAGTTTTATGAAATAATTTTTAACTGATCGTTCAAAATCTAGCTTTTATGTATAGTAAGAGTGATGGGAGCGCCTGTTTTATTATTTATATTATTGAGTTTCTTAGAGTATCTGTAGAATATGGATTACGGTTAAAATGAAATGATTTAATAAATTTCAATTATTTTATATGCATCATCTGTATGTATATAGGTATTTAATATATATATATATAAATAATAACAAATGATGAGAGTGAGGAACAAATTTTATCATTACTTAATTTAACAGTAATTCAACAGAATTTTAGCATTTTACGAAAAATAAAAAAACCTACAGGTTTAAATGCAACACACCTTATTTATTTGCCTTTAAAAATATATTGAATCACTGTATCCGTCGAGATGTTGTTGAATCCATTAATAAAAACCCATTCGCAAAATTAATGGTATATACATTAACGTATTTGTTTTTCATTAAGAATATTTTTTTACCTTCAGTGCTATATTTTTACAGTGTAAACATTTTTGTGGACTCTTTTTTTCCACTATTTATAATACATATGATATTGGACGTACCTATAAACACAACACCTATACAGAAAAAAAAATCAACCTTAATTTAAAATTTTTGCGTTTTTGTTCGGAAAAATATCACCTTCCACAGTAACCAAAAAATATTAAAGATGAAAACAACCTTTATGTCATGTCGCGACTCAGAAATTTTATTCCAACGTCATCGTAACATATAAACGACGGTGCCCTTTTAAGTTTCAAAAAATAGCTTTAATAATTTTAAATAAAATGGTAAAAAACTTTCGATATACTGTTTTCTCATAAGTATCCTGCCGACCTTCAGATTATTCAAATCTTTAAAATTTTCTTTTTTTAATTTACTCAAAACCACGGTCATTAGTGGTATTTTCTTTAGAGATCACAAGGCGTCTTAAATGTCTCTTCGATTAAATTAACCCAGTAACCAGAAACGTACTTCGAAGGCCGTCCTAGTAGGTTCTTTTCAAATTTGGTTAGGAAGAGAGAGGAGGTTAACGCTTAACGCGTTTAACGCGCGTAAAATAGAGGCCCTTTAGATCTACAACTGGGTCGTGTTGCAGAGAGAAGAGCTTCAACAATGCTCTGTGGAAGCTCCTCTCCCTGCAATGCGATGGACCCGGCAACCTTACGGTGAATCCATTGAATGCTAAGAGGTTTCGTCTTATTTTATTCAAATGTGGAAACTGATTGGACTTTAACCTGACTCTTAAGACTTACATTTATTTTTTTTTACCTACCAGATCTAGTAAAACATATCTATTTGCACAACCAGAAGTAAAACCAAAGAAAAATCTTACAGATAACTGTAGAAAAAGGGAATTAAAATTAATAAGTAGTACATATACGTCAATATCCTTTCTTTCTTTCCAATACAAAAAAACGGTATGCGAAGATGTAACATAATTATTTTTTTTAAGAAAATTATTCTTTTTCAGATCTGTGAAACAACATTGTATGCAATTGAACATTTCAAATTTATTTACCATAAAACTGATTTATATTTTTCTAATATGCAACATTTGAAAATTATTACTTAGTCAGTATTTACTTACGGACTGAGAATATGTTATATTAATATCTAGAATCTAGATTAACAACAAATTTAATGTCTTCCGCTATTACTTTGTAACTATATTTGTTGTTACATATAAAAAAATGGTTGAAATATCCCGCATAACAAAAAATTTTCAACTAAACTATTAACCACGTAACCGCAGTGCTAACACTCCGCGAGTATTCATTTTCATCTCTTTGTTTTGTTATTCAATAGTCGACCATGACTGCACATGCATGCAACACGTGTGATATTTGCAGCTTTCAATTTATTACTCAAACTAATTAGGGATGCGTTAAAACCTCAAAACGTGATGCTAGTTTTATATCATCAAATAACAAAGCGTTAGAAATGGAATAAATTCATAATTGTGTTCGAGCTTATAGAGCAATCTAACAAGTTTTCAATCGTATATAAAACAAAATTTCATAAATAATTACATATTGAGAATACCCCTATATGATACGTTATGAGAATGTTAAAGACATAAAGTAACAAAATTATCGTGATATATTCTCGAAAATATTAAATCAAACAAATTTATATAGATAGAAGTGATTTATTAAACGCTTTTCCCGCAGTCACACGATCTTAAAATAGGAAATAAAACTGAAAAAAAGAAAGTTAATGCATAATTATATCTAAGTAAATTAATCTTAAACGTTACATGTACAAAAACCTTTTTTATTTCGCCAGTATGTAGCTAATTTCAATTATAATAAAATTATATTAATTTAAAAATACCCACGTACTACAAGTTTCTTAGCACTTAATCTAATACAAAAATACCTTATATCATTTTTTAAAAGGCACTTTATTTAAAAAATATTCAACTCAAATACGTGATTTGTTGATATTCATCAATATTTATTTTTTGTCATTTAGTTTAGAAATGTTTTATTAACAGTTTATTTTACAATTCTTTACTCTTACTTTTTTAAATATGTCAATGTATATAAAGTAAATTGCTTTCCTCATTTAAAAATGTTTAAAAATATTGAAAGAAAATATTACTTATCATTCTAGCGGTTGACCAAACAAAATAAAAAATGCACCAACCTACTTAATGTAATAAATTGATTTTCATCAATAAACAGTCATAATTTGTTTACTTTTTTCAACTATATATTTACATATAAATATACGTGTACATTGTTAGTCAGTAGTTTATCCATATAGTGAAAAATACACCCTTAGTACACTTTTTTGGAATGATAGATAATATTATAACTTTTATAAATACAACTTTAAATTCTATAGAAGATATATTTAAACTTACATCAGGATCTTTGGAGTATGAACATTTGTGAACATCAAATGCTCGTTGGCATTTTTCTTTATCAGGAGTGTCTAAAGAAAAAAAGTAAATAAATGATCTACATGACATTAATTTAAATTACATCAACATCCACACTTAAAACCTTTCAAAATGTAATAAAAAAAAGAATTGGAACAGTTTATAAATCACCATTTCTATAGGTAAGGTTAGAGTGTACATATGTAGAAGAATATTAATATATAATATATTTCTTAATAAAATCGTAGAAGGACAACTAATATTAAAATTTTCCCTATATATGCTATCAATTAAACATACCCAAATGCTTGCAACCATTTATCATGTTGAGGACTCTGTCTGTGTATTGATCTGGTATCAAACTGACCATCATATCATAATCAACATTACCGTCGTCGTCAACCTGAAAACACAAGATATACGAAACTTTTCAAGCTTATATTAACTAGTTTTACAAATAATAATAACAAAAATTGCTAGACTTTATGAAATAACATGTGTCTTTTAATTTATATTTATTTGTTCTATTTTTTTGTGCAATTCTCTCACCACCTACAGCTATTCTGAAACAATCTAAGATAAAACCGGATTCTGTTTCTTTGATACATTTTTTTTGTATCATGTTGATGTTACCCTTTTATTGTTTGTCCGTTTGTTTTTAATAATAAATAAAAAAGCTTTAAAGGAAAATATTTTTCATACATATGTACACACATAGATGTATATATTCACATACCTTGTTTTCTAAAACTACACAATTCGAATTGCTTTCATTCGAGCATTCATATCATCTTATGCTAAACTTATCCCCTTACTTTTGACTTTTAATACTATACAAAGTAACAAACCAATAGTTAAAATCAAATAACTCACAAGACTCCCTTCTTCCAGTAAACAAAACATGTAGCACTTCAATTTCATGTCCTCCTTAAAAATGCCGTTTTCGCAATTCGCTATATCCTCTGGGGGCAAGTGAAGATAAAGACTGTTATAAACACAAACAAAAGACGTATCGTTTACAGTAATGTCATACTAACCAAAAATTACCATCACGAAATATAGGACAGCACTTAAGGATATTATAATGTTGTCGCATAAATTAATAATTCACTTGTTAGTAATAAAACCACTAAAATTATAGAGTAACGCGTCTCTAATGTGCTTCAATTTAATTAATTAAACTCCCATAAAATATAGATTTAGTCACTATTAAATATAAGCAGGTACTCTAAGAATGATTTTAACAATTTTTAAAGATGCTATCTTATATTCTGAGGTCAAAGAAAGAATTACATTTTTTTATTATCGAAAATAAGAAAACAGGTTGAATTTTGCATATTGCTCGTGGGATGAAAGAGATTTATTATATTATTTAAACGAGTAATAAGCATTGAAATCAAACTATATTTCCGGATTTATCTCACATTTATTTTATTTTATTTTATTTATTTATTACAATTATGTTGGTATTTGTACATTTATATCTTAGTTTTCAGTGTCTCATAAACCAATATTGGTTTTTCCGTACACTGGAAATACATAATAATATATTTAACTACGATTACGATTTTAATACGTCACAACGTATTCAACAGCTTTATTAAAATAAAAATATTTTTCCTCGATATTTTGTTAAAAGTGCACCTTCGTTTTTACTCTGAGTGATTGTTTTAAAACAAGTTTTAATATTATCATGCATTTAGATTTCAAAGAATCAAATACACCGTCTATAAATAAAGAACAAAGGTGAACGGAAATAAAGTGTTCCTTTAGCAACTTACCTTCCGCCACCCCGGTCTTACCGACGCACTCGTTGTGAACATGTTGTATTATTTCTTTGATTTCCTCACTTAGTTCCTGAAAATACAATTTAGTTACGTAAAATCAATTTTCAGTTTCCCTTCCAGATCTTTGTTTGATACAAAAAAACGTTTGAACGGGAAGCTTTATATTGAAAAGGGGCTAAAAACAGTTAACGTCGGACAGAAACGAAATTAATCTGCCAAATATAATTCCCGATTCTTTTATATTTACGAATCTATTTATATTAAATGTCAGTAAATTACTTTAATGTCATTTGAAATAATGAAACCGTAATTAAAAAAATATATTATCAATATTTATAAATTTAAAAATTAAAATATAAAGAAATATAAACAAAATTGATACATGTTACAAAAATTTAATCCCGCAAAATATTCCATAAGTTCTTACTAGGTGAGAACTAGTAAAATAAAACCCATGGCATAAAACTATAAATATTTATACCAACACTCGTAGGAAGCTTCTTGAATGTTACCTACGTTTCATTATCAAGTCCCTTAGACTTTTCTGATTCACATACATTTCCTTTTGTGAACAACATAAGCAAAGAAGTCACTCCAATATTAAAAATGACATAACATTCTCAAAGAATATTATTAAGTCGGAATTCCGCGGGGACCAACCCAGTGCACATCAAGTTGTATCACAACGTTAAATATTAATTTAAACGACATAGAATCGTTTTCCTTGTCTTTATATTACGTTTCGACAAATAAAATTTTTACATATTTTTTTTTAACATCAAAGAGCTTATGTTAATAAAAGGATATCCAAGAATAATGTTTCTTTGTTATGATAAGAAAAGAAATGAATTCATTTTATGAAAAATTTTAACAATAATTATTACCTATAACCGATTGCTAAATATCATTTTTTAAAATTATCATATGTAAATTACTGAGATTTAGAAAAGCTAACAAAGAACTGGTTGTTATTCATTAATAGATATAATCCAGCAATGAGCTTGCGAACACGTCCATACCTCCACATATCTTAACTTTTGTACAGTAAATAAGAAGGTCGGTCGTGAAAGATTGATTAAGTGAAAATGCTACAAAACGCTTAGGGAATTGCTCTTTGAGCTTTGACTTTCCCACTCTTGATTTGTCTACGACAATTATGACACTCATAAACGAGATATGATAGGTTTTATAAGACTTAAAGTATGAAATATATGATAGAAATTATGATGGATTCAGTAAAAAGTAGACGAATATCCACCATGCGAAATAAATTACCTAATATTAAGAAAAAATACAATTTACTGCAAATAGCTTTAATATTAAATACTGTTAATAGTTATAATATTAATGTTATACTGCAAATAGTTATAATATTAAGTACTCTATAAATAGTACTTGCGACAAAAAATTAAACAATTTTAAATAATTTAAAAATATATACTTACAGGTTTTTCTTTTGCTCCATAACATAATGTAAGTATCGCAAGGTATAGAAGCAGCGAAAGGGAAGGCATCGCGCCATTACCGCGAAATAAATAAAATGTCCTTCTTATACAGTAAAAGCAGCAACATCACGACCAAATTATAAAGTATAACCGCTTGTGCAAAGGCTTTAATTAGCATATTAACAGCAATTATATCACAAAGCTGTAATCAAGAGGCGTAAACTTTCCGTTGCATAAATGATTGGGCAGCCATCCCGTTATTATGGGAGTAGTTAGTCGTTAGTAGTTTCACATTTGATTGTCATTTTTTAATTTGAAATTATTTAAGATATTATGCATATGGTAATTATAATACGACGTAGTTAATCTTTATTTGTATAGATAGCTAATGTCATTAACAACTTTGCACAGGAAAATTGAACAGGACTAATTTTCATCAAAGAGGACTCTATTGTATTCCGTGCCAACATTATAAAATTAATGTCAAAATGCACGTTGTTCGCCCTAAAGCGTCGCCACAATAAGCCAAAGGATATCAGTCCTAATGATTATTAATGGTCTGAAGATGGCTTGGAAAATTATGCTGTGCTTACTTCCGACGCTATACAGACAATTCAAAATTATAAAGCATTTTCAATACTCAATTCCATAATAGGCTATTTATGTAATACAACTCTGAAATTGCTACTAAGAATATTGATGAGGTGAATTCTCTCTGTAAAAAATATTAATTTAAAATGAGTATAAAAGGGTCTGTGCCCCTACCCTCCCCCTCACCCCAGATGACGCTGTCAAAGCCAATAGAGCTAAAAGCTACAGTAAAGTCGAAACCCATAGGTAACCTTAAACACATAAAAGAAAAAATTTATTTTATATTCTTTTTTCATAAATAGTTTTATAATGTCCTTTTCTTCTATAAGCCTTAATTAAAGCATGTCATGTTTTTTTGCTTCATTTTTAGATTCAAAATTTATAAAATATATTTTACAATAAAACTTCAATTTCAACCTATCCATAATCTCTCACGCACACTTATGCAGAGTGCAATCGACATGAAAAATCCATTAAGGCCGTTTTGCATCGGTACAGGCCGGCGTAGGAAACGCCAGTGACCGTGATAAGCGGATTTGTTGGCCCCTGTCGGCTGCATCCATTCTCTATGCAGATGAACACGCTTATGCATCATCGCTTCCTTTATATACTGCGGATGATCTTATATTATGACCTGGCTTGACCGTACATAAAGACTTCTTGAGTTCACTATCATAAGGCACGTACAAACTCCATGACTTCTGAACACGCCTGAGACTGTGGAGTGATTTATATGTTGCATTTACTTTTCGTATTAAGTACCTCATAAAAGTTTTAAATGATAGATACACAATTTATACCAGAAGTATAGTATTATATAGTTCTTTAATAAAATGTAAACATCATCACTGTGGTTTTTAAATTTAAATATATTAATAAATAATAGTTCATAGGCAAAGATAACAACAAACAAATGCAACAATTTATCTTAAGTCATGCTCGATTAACATTCTTGTTTTATATGAATCGAATTGTTCACGATAAAGATTAGATGTTATGTATTGTTATTATTTTTATATAATATTTAAAAATTAGTTCCAAGAAACAAACTCTCATATAAAATATAACACAAGCTTTAAAAAAAATCGTTTCAACGTTGAAATACATTATTTATCGATACATCATAATAATGATGAATCGTAACATTACAAAAGGTATATTGCTACCAGGTACAAAACTAGATCTTTTAGAATTCATTTCATACTTATTCCTGTAGCTCATTAAATTGCAAATATTAAAAAAGTTTTTTTAGTCGCATGTAAATCAAGCTATTCCATGTACTTTTTTTTAATTTTGTAAACGTTATAATTTCTATAACAAAAAAAATTCCACACTAAACCAACAACACACATTTAAAACTGATAAAAAAAATTAAAAATTCGTGACTTGACTTTGAATTATATGAATGGAAGTTAAAACTAAATTAATTTTATCAATATTTATGTATTATTGAATATATTATCGTCATTTTAATTACATTTATTTTTTAGCTTAGACAATTTATTACAATTAACGTCTAAGTCTTAACTCAGTAAGTTTATCTAGGAGAAGTATTACTTTGACGGTCACGGTATGAAAAGCGAGCGGACGCAGGCACCATATGTTGGCGCTCTAGACATTTTATGTTACATCTCTTTATGGACATAAAGTCTCTTAATTAAAAAAATGCATCAATTTGTAAAGAAATAATTTGAAGATAGTGAAGAGAGATGAGTGGAGTTGGGACTGAAGAGACATCATTACCGCAATCAAAGCAGGAAGCCGCAGCATGCACCCCGCGCCCGCTAACGAGTGCTCTCGATAAAAATTAAAAACACGTGCAAGCCCAGTCTGAGGAAAGTTTTAATGAGACTACACGACTTGCGCTCCACCGGCAGCTATTATATTAACATGTACCGACAGGTATTATACAGCTATGTTTATTGCATATTCAAAATTGCTTATTTAAAGCTGACATTTAATATTTTTGAATAACCTTTTGATCTATCTACATACTTATATTGCGATACCTCCAGCTAGAAACATTATATACAATTTTTAACTTGTTTAAGTTTATTGTTCTGTTAAGCATTGTTCTTTTGTGCGATTTGTAAATTTAAAGCCGACTTTATTCGACTAGCATAAAAATTTCAACTGAGAAAATCAAGATTAAATTTACAAGGGCGTCATAACTACTTGCTATAAGTTGCGTGCTACAATTAAAACATGAAATAAACTTAAAATTTACTGACACTAACAAGAATGTAATCAAAATATTTTACAATATATTTTAGATATTTTTATATAAAGCGACTTACGTATTCATATTAACACATTATAAAATGAAGTCTAATATGATTTAATTTGACGATTAACAAACAGTTTACATTACTTAATACTAAATTTTAAATTATGGAAAATAAGTGGGCTCCTATTAAATCGATATCTACCTATAGGTAACAACGATTATATCCATTTCTAGTAAGGCGTTTATTAAAAAAAAAAAACATTTAATCCCGCCGGAAACAAATTAGCGGCGAAATCAAATTAGGGTAACCTACTGAACTACACTGCATTTCCTAAATAGAAGCACACTTCTATATCTTTTTAGAATGTTACATAATAATAGTATAAAATATTATTTGAATTATGTAAAAGTTATCCATAAAGCGCTATGTCAATAAGTTCTAATTACAACAAACTCTGCTAATAATTTAATTTCAAATCTTTAAAAAGTGAGTAGGTATTTTGATATTAAAACTAATTACTCAGCAATTTTTAGCTACCTAGTATTTCAGACCGATAATTAAAACGTTTTGTTAATAAATGTTATACATTTCAGCTCTTCGTCACTAATCATTTAGAATAAATAACACTGATTTGTCTAGAGGGAACAAAAGCTTTTCATTTCATCGTAACCCAAAAGATGCTTTATTGTTCTCAATGGCTTTCTCCGCCGCGATGCAGTCTGATAAAAATAGGAATAAATTGTGAGGATCTTTGCAAAACAATAGTTGGAAATGGTCTACGCGAGAAAAAGCCGGATGCAAATGCCATTCATATTAATTAGCAAAGCGAAACGGGGCTTTTACGAAATTAGACCGTGATTTCAGTGAAGATTTATTGTTGAGTTTGAAATGGTTTTTGGAGCAAAGGTAGTCAGCCATTTAGACGCTAGCAAATTGATGCTGACATAACTCCATCTGAGTTTTAATTTGAAATGACTAAAGACGCTCGTTATTCAAGAAAAATGTAAATAATTTTAAGAACAACTTCATTAATTCTAAACATAGATACACAGATTTTTAATCAATTTTAATAAATTATAATCAATAAGTGATGAGTTTAATGAATTTTTAACTTCTATCATCAGTGGGATATCATTAAATGTACTAGGCAGTTTCTTAAACACTTTCTTAAAAGCTTGTTCTGACTTAAAGAAAAAATTGTGAAAATCTACAAAAAAAAGAAATTAAATAACTAGATAAAATAATATGACAATCCTAATTTCTTAAAAGTTTTTTTGTTGTCTGGACTTTAAGATAACTCATAACTTCATGTGTGCTTATAATACCCAAAGAGGGTAAACTAGAACGCTGAAATTTCAAATTTGGTCCGATTCAAATCCAACATTCAAATTCATTTCTCTTCCGCTAATGTGATATGTATACTTTATACCCAATATGATGTACTTATCATTAAAAATACACACAAAAGAAATATTATTAAAAAATATATATTAACATTCAAACGTTCGACAGACAAGCAACTTCATACTAGGCTATTTTTATAAAATTGAAGACGTATATATTTAAATCCTGTGAGATAACTTTTATAACAATTTTAAAAGTTAGATACAATAACAGTTACTATGCTATTCTATGCATAAGTCATTACTATAAAATTTTTATAAAATATATCATTCACATGATCTCGATTTTCTTTTTCACTTTTACATTATATTTTCCTTTATTTAACCCCTTATTAGATATTGCAATATTGGTTTCTCGATGTCAACAATCTTGTTGTAAATTATTTTTTAATATTTGGCCTGTTTAGTTAGATTTGTTTAGCCATTTCGAATAACTCTAGGTACTTTCAGTTTTTATTTCCATCACTCCGTTAACATTTTTGTTCACAGGTAAATACTACAGTACTTAACTACTCGCCCCTACTTTCATTTCAAGGTTGATTTTCTTTAATCGAGCCAAGAATATACATATAGCTGTAAAGGGTTGTGCTGTTTTCATAGTGTTTGGATGTTGAGTTTAGATATTTGTGGGTTATTTCTTTCTTACCAATATATCCACCTAAGTTATTTTATTCTATAAAATTAAGAGAGGTCATCAATTTTATTATTGGTCCAACATATTATGTAGAGCATACTCTACAGCTGCATACAGCTCACTAAAAATTACCTCTCTGTAAACGATTTTTTGTAGATTTGACATTGCTATTGTGTCTATACTCAAGGGACATAATTATTGTTATTCAAATTAATATAATTTTAAATATTGATTTTTAAATGAAATTTCTGAGTTGTCTAATTGTACATAGTTTTATTGCTATCCCTATAAGTCCGTAGCCCTTTTGTATATATGCAGACTTTTAGAAGGTCCTTGATATAAAAATAATTATTTTCTGATTTTATTCTTAATATCAGATCAATCGATTAAGTAAAAGACTATATATGTACTGATTTTGACCAGAGAAATTATCAGTTTTATATTTATCTTTTCCGATTACTAATGTTAATTATTATTAAATAATGAGATTAAAGTGCCTGACACTATGATAATAAATTATATTATAAAATATTGTCATTTAAATGTTAATTTCTCATTTTAAAACTTTGAATATGAAAATTCCCGTCTGGTTTTTATTGCAACATATCTTTATTTACTAAGTAATAAATATATGAAAAATTTATATAACCATGTTTTATTTCATATGCATGACGTCAGCATTACTGACATCACGAATGCCTTTGTTCTTGATAATCGTCAGGCTCTCAAGCTATTGAAGGTAAGCTCGTAGATGGTTTGACGAAACCTTTATTTCGAACAGGTGCTATCCCTGCAAGGCCTCGCGCGAGACTGTTTTTAACCTGTACCCAAGCCTCTATTTATGCCAACCAACACTCTTTGAATCTGCATTTGCTCCGGTGGCTACTCAATTGACACCTGATAATATTAACTACCCTTAATTATTAATTAGGCAAGTAATTGCAATTGCATTGCACCGATATATAAAATATGTATTTCTAAACGGCTAAACCTTTTATGTGTTAATATACGAAACACTGTAAACCGAAGTTTATGAGTTTGGGGAATATAAATAAAATACTGTAGCAATGATTGGAACGAATAATTATTACATTATTTACAAATCATACCAGTTACAATATCTATTTATTATTAAAAGGTTACAAAGATCTTTCTTAAGCACTATGGATTTTCGTAGTATTTTGTTATATAAATATTATTAAGCTAGAAAAAAAAACACGGAATAAAAAAAAGTCAAGAATATGAAGAATAAAAAAATCACAACCAACTTTATTTTGATTTAAAATAATTATGTAAAAAGTTTTCAGCACCGAAAGTACAAAACAAAATGCTTGATTTAAATGCAAGAACACAACCAAAATAGATAAATAAATATTAAAATAAGTTATATAAATTTGGCTAAATAATTTGTATATGCTATAGTCTAGCCTATTTACCTACACAATATATTAATACTTTGAGAGGAACCAATTCATAATTTTTTATTAAAAAATATATGTACTTATTTGTACATTCAAACATAATACTAAAACTGTAATTGAGCATCTCTGGAAATGTGAAATTTGTGACTTCAATACATCTATATTATTTAAAAACATTAATTATAAAAATTCTATAAAACAAAAGGATAAAAAAGAGAATTCAAAATCTCTGAAGTAAATATTGTGAGTCTGAGCAGGTTGTCTACAGTGTATAATTATTAAAGGGAATAAGCTTATAGTAGTAGATGTCTAAATCTCTGTTGTCGATGTTTAGTTTGTCACAAACATGGAGGTGGCAACGGTATATCTATCATCTTGCAGACTTCAAGAAGAAAATTCTTAAGGATGGCCGGCTGGTTGTCTTTTGAGCCATTCATTGTAATGGTTGGTATAAATGTTGGTTTGATCATTTCTGTGTCGTCACCATGCTTCTTAAGGAGGGCTGAACCATGAGCACTCAAAGCGCAATTTGTGATTGGCTCTGGATCTACATTCATGGGTTTTGCGCACTAAGACAAAAAAAAAAAACATATATTTACTACCTACATTCCATTAAACTACAAAATGCTTCTTATGAAATCTTAAAGGACAAGTATTCATAATTTGATGATTATTTTTATTACCCTTAATTCATCAAATGGAATTGTTATATATAAATAAAATTGGAGCATCTGGTTGTTATATTGAAAGAACAATTTTTGCAACATCCATATCAATATAAAGTACATACACTAGCATAACATTTTCAACAATTTTTGTCTGTTCATCTGTTTGTTCTAACTAATCTCTGATATGGTTGGACAGATTTTGACAGGACTTTTATTGACAGGTAGTTGATGTTATCAGGCATAACTTAGCTACTTTATTGGGAGGCGGGACTCACATTGATTTTTTTTTAACAAATAGTCATGGGTAACAGCTACATAACAATAACAATGATAATAACAATTTTCTTTCATTATAGTTCCTGTAAAATTGTATTAATTGATTGTATAGCTGTATTCTTTCTAGACTGAATTATATATTCATAATTCATAATTAAAATAATAATTATATATTCATATTTACCCTAGCTAAAGCCTCATCAGCATCCATATTGTCAGTTATCATACACTGGGCAAGTTTAACGGCCATTATCGGATTATTAAGTACATCAATTGCACATGCATGAACCTTGTTAGCATAGCACTCTTGTTCGCCATGCTGACATTGGAAAAAGTAGTGGCCATTTTCTTCTTTGGTCTGAAAATAGTAAAGAAGTTGTTACTGTTTAACATTAACAAATTTTAAGATTACATATTGAGTATCTTTTAAAAAATATATAAAGACAAACCTGATTATTTTAAAATATACATAATGAAATATAAGATTTATCTACAATATAAAAAAATTAGACTGAACATAAAATCATAAATTCTGAAACTTTTTTAAGTATCATTATAAAGAAAAACAGTAGAATAAAAAAATTTAAACCATAACTAAAAATAATACTCACACTAGCTTTGCCATATGGAACCAAAAAAACTTCTATAAAATCTGATAACTTTTCTGTTACTGGCCACAAATGCCTTATGAAGAAATGTTTTGAGTCTGGGCAGAGGGCTTCATAATAAACTCTTATTTTAATCTTGTCTTGTTTGTGTATGTTGTATTTGTCATCTTCTAACCGTAATATATTCTGAAAATCACTCATTATTTTACTTTTGCTATAAATAGTAAGAATTATTACATTTTAACACCAAAATTTACATACCAGTGAGCTATCCTCTATTACATGAGGTTTTGGTTTATCTACTAAAAACAACCTGAAGCTTTGCCACATAATCAATGCCAACATTATTAAAACTATCAATCTGTATCGGTTACAAGTGTAAAAAGCCATATTTTTATAAACTTATTACCATTAGCTTTGGTATTGAGCTTACAGAATTGACACTTCACTTGTATATTTTGTTAACGAATATATCATTTAGCCATAAAGATTAGTATCGATTACAGCTACTTGTTTATTCTAATACAAGTTACACGATTAAATTCACACACCATTTCTAATAAGTTATAAAATGTAAAAAAGAGTTGATAAGAATAACTTCATTATTGACATTAAAAATAAGACAAGTGACAGTTTTTGTTATAGTCTGTAATATTACGTCCCATTGAAGCCAGGGAGAGTACAAAATCTTTCTCATCAGTAGACAGCAAAATTACAATTAAAATTAGCCTGATAATAAAATTGACTATTACTTTTCTTAATACACCAATAAATCGAAGTCAACATTGTGTCTTGTTAATTTTTCATAACAGTCTGCATTGCTTTTGGAAAAATTTAGTTCTTGCAAACCGATGTTTGTAAGTTCAAAATGAATGAATCAAACAAGCACTGTAAACTAAGCGGGTTTCAGATTCATATCTTAAAATGTTAATTAAATCTGGTGTCACCAAAGTAGAGCTCAAACAAAACGAATGAATGCCTTGTAAAGTTGTAACATGTATGTCAACAAAATAAACTGGATATTCTAGATAACTGTTATAATGTATGCAACATTTTTTTTCTGGATAAAGTTAACATACGACCTCAATGCCAGGAAGAGATTTAAGACAACCCAACCTTTATTATCATAAGCTTGTTAATTTGCGTTCGAAGGAATAGGTTAAGATTTTTTTGAGGTCCCAGGATAATGTTCTATATTTTTTAAAGTTCTATTTCCAACGGCTGTATGAACACGGCTTTCTGTTATAACCAGTCATAAAAATATCTGTGACGTAAAAATATATATCTAATAATATTTTAAATTCGTTATATCTATGTATCAATGTTTGTACTTCCTTTTTCTTCTAAACATCAGAATAACATTGAATTTAATTTATACCTAGGGGTTGGTGACCATGTCTTTATTTTTGAGGAAAGTATGATAATTTCTCTTTGAATATCATTCCGGAAGTCCATGAGGAATGTTATTTTTTTAATTAAAATAATGTCTTTATAATAGAGAACGATCAGGGATTGAAAGTTTAGCTTTAAAAATATTTGCATGAATTCTTTTTTGTTGAAATTTTATATAATTCTAATAACTCTATTTTAGGACTCTACTAACTTATAATTTAATACGAATTCTATTATGATAGTCAACTAGATTCTTGACTCGGTATTGTTTTCAGATATAAAGTAAAATAATTGTATCTTCATTTACACCCATTACTTTGAAAAAATAAACATATTTTAAGTATATTAACGTTCAGTATAAATTTAAATGAATATAGGCTGTGTTTAAGTTATCACCCTTCTTTTTTAATTATTTATTCATTCTAATCACATAACACTTTTTGGATTATTTATTTAAGATTTATTATGCATCAAATTACCCAGACGAAAATTAATACTTTTTTAACACATAATTTCAATTAAAAATATTCGTTTCTAGATACATATAACATTATATTTAGATGCGAAAAGAAACGGTTTTCATGTAATGTCATTCTTGTTAGCTTACATATTAATTCTAATAATTTTAGTTAATTATAATAAATATACTATAATCATTTAAATAAAAATAAGATTAATAAAACAAGGTCTCACTATAAATATTTATTTTAATAATACATAATGGGCGTAATGGATTAAGATTATTTATTTTACAACCCTCTCATTCATTTAATTGCAAAGACGCAAACTTTTCTACATCATAAAAGCCAGCCTTGACCTGCCTCCCGCCAAAAAATCGTCCATTCAAATCAACAACTGCTTTGATAGCGCTTTCAATCCTTTTAAATTCCACGAATATTCTGACAGCTTCATCACTGGGTGCATTGGGCATTTCAAAGATCAGGACTTTTACTACCTCACCATACTTGGTGTTGCACTCATCTTTAACCTCTGGTTCTAGTTCTTCATCCACATCACCAGGTCCCACCATATTCTAACAAAGTATACAAATAGAATTTGTATATGTATATGAAGCACCATAAGTAAAATATAGTCAAGTTATTAGACATATTTGATGACTAGTTACTGAAATTAAATCATATCTTACCCTCAGTAAAACCACTTTACTTGGTGTTTTCATTATTTCTGTAATAGATGGTTCTTGTCTCGAAAGTGGTGAATTTGAAGCATTAGGAGAGTCTGAAATAAAAACAAGTAAAACTTTAAAATATTATACTCCTAAGGCATCTTTTTCTCGTAAGATGTAGTTTTTGGAAACAATGTTGATTTTATTTGCACTGTCATCAGCCTATCAGCGCCCACTGCTGAGCAAAGGCCTCTTTCTCTCATGGAGAAGGTTTGAGCATTAATCACCACACTTGTTCAAGACGGGTTGGTGATTTCAAACTTGTAATTATGAAACTATGTATAAGTCCAGGTTTCCTCACGATGTTTTCCTTCACCGTATGTCAGTGGTGTCTAAATACTCTCAGAAAGTACATATGACTCTGAAAAATCACATTGGTATTTGCCAGGTTTGTTAGGTGGTAAAGCCTAGCTGTGGTCAAGTTACTACAGCTCGAACATGGGCTGGCTTGACCGGGGAAGTACCACCCTCTCACAGAAAATCGGCGTGAAGTAGTCTTTAATAGCTGCGTTTCGTCCGGTGAGTGAGAGAGCCGGTTGCCCTTTCCCTTTTCCCACCCTTTCCTTTCCCACTTTTTCCCTTTTCCACCTTTTACTCCCCATTTTCCCCAAACAAGGACGGCAACACATCTGCATATCTATTTTGCAGATGTCAATGGGCGACGGTCACTACCTACCATCAAGTAGGCCGTCTGCTCAGTTGCCCCCTTTTCCCATAAAAAAAAAAAAAACCCGCGCCCTCGGCAACGAGGGGCGGACCCTTTAACCACTAGGCCACCACTGACTCATATTTGCACTGATTGATATAAATATATTTTTATGTAATAAGTAGATAGGTTATAACTAAATGTAAACATACCGGGTCCTGAAAATGATGGCATAGCAAAACTAGGCGGCATCATGGTTGTACTGTCCTTTTCATGAATAATGCGACCGCCACGCTTGGAAGTTTTCTCAACCTGTAATGCTACTGACATTCCTTGTTCTTTCTTGCCTAAACCTTGACCCTCCTAGAAAATTTTAAATCATATAAAAATTGTTGCAATGCAAATAATTTATATAGAGGATAAGATGCAAAAACAGTTTACTTCCTTTCACATAATAATATGAGTTTCATAGCTAGATGTAAAAGCTTACTTTAAAACCATATTTTGCCATAATTTTTGCTGCAACCGAACTAGCACCATAACCACCAATTGAGAAACCTTGGCTGGCTGTCGGAGTGGGTATGATTGGTGGGGGTGAAAGGCTCTCTATAGTCAAAGAAGGTGGTGGTGCAATAGCAACTCCTGCCGTCCGTTTGGTTTTCTCTTCCGCTTCTTCCTCTTCAGGTTGCTGTTATAAGTTTAATTGAAAAGTAAATTATGTTTTTGTATATACACATTTTGTATTCAACCTGCACATTAAAACTGAGTACACAACCATTGGCACTAATGTTTTTTCCGGTATGACATCTTCTTCATCATTAAATCTTGTTTTACGTTTCCTTTCTGATCTATCACTCCTTTCAGTTCTTTCACCGCTTCCATCTAGGTTGAGCCTTTTAGCTTGCATTTCTAGTTATAAAAATGTAACATTAAATGATATTATTTCAATAATCTTTCTATTAAAGATGTTTATGAAGAATAACAATAAGGAATCATCTAGTTTACTGAACAACCAACACTCATAATAAATAAATATTTTTTATTTAAGCAAAACTAAGTGACTTGGGTAATCTATTCATAAATACTCAATCTAAACACATGAAAACACAAAATCACATTTGATTCAAAATCTTTCATAATAAATCACATGTTCAAGGAAAATTCATTGTGATCATTTTGTATTATCAAGTATATAAGTTAAATATTTATGTATAATACATACAAAATAAAAATAAAGTATGTGGAATACATTTCTAAAACTTAATCTATCCAATTTTAAAATAAACTAAAAAAATATTTACAGTTGCCTTTGATAATCTTAAAAACCTTTTAAAGGCAGTGGTCGACTATTACATTTGTCAGATTATAAGGTACTAGCTTTCCGCCCGCAGCTTCACCGCGTGGAGTTCGGTTATATCGCGTTTCCAAGAGAACCTTTCAAAAGTCTGGGATAAAAACTATCCTATGTTCTTTCTCAAGGTCAACTCTATCTCTGTACCGAATTTCATTAAAATCAGTTCAGTGGTTTAGGCGTGAAAGCGTAGCAGACAGACAGACAGACAGAGTTACTTTCGCATTTATAATATTATAGTAGGGATTGCCTAAGACCGCACGTAGTCAAGAATTTTTTTCAAAATAGTCCCCTTTAATCTGATAAAATTCTATGAGTTACACATAAATACTTTGCAGGATAAATCATACCACTAATTTGACCAGATGATGTCGAATTTACACTAGACAATCAGAATGAAGACAATATCCTTTGCATCAAGCAAGATATTGAAATAGGTTATAGCTTGTTCGATCATTTATTAGTGAAGATTGAAAGAAAACTGTTCAATAACAAAAAATAGACAATGTCAAATTACAAGGAGTTGCAGAATACCATGAATCCACATACTAAATTACTAATAACTCACCTTTGGCTACTTTTTCGTAATCATTAGGCCACATAGGATCATATTCATTTGCAACATTCCAATCAAAATCACGAACATTTAAAGTAGCTGTAATTGTTTTTGGTTGAATTTTTGGGCTATTTGTGTTAGGCTCGTCATCATCCTTAGACTTACTTTTTAAGTCTATTACTGGAGTAAGCACCTTTGAAAAAATATATTTCATAGTCATCAATTGTTTCATTTGAAAATTTTGTAAAACATTTTTATAAATAAACTAACAAATATTAAAATTGTGTACAGATCTATGTATGTGAAACTACTGAATACATTTTAGTATTATCTGAATTTAATTTCTTCCACAATCAACCTTTAAAAAAATGATATTTTTCACAAAATGTTCAAGAAAACATGATATAAAGTTTCTTGCACATACGAAAACATTATTTTATACTGTTCGCAGACGAAATCACGAGTATAAATGAAGTAACAAAATTATATTTTATTTAAAATTATTCTTTACATTACCTGATTAGATCTTCGCAAAGCTTCTCTCTTCGGTTGTGTTACAGCAGCCTTTTTTAATTGTAATTGAGACTGCAAAAGTTTTATTCCCGAAGACCATCCTGCCACTTTATCAGACGTCCGGGCCTTTATAGTATCAAGATCATCATATAACGACATTTTTCACTTTGATATTGTTTTAACCTATAATAAAAATATAGTAACCTATTAGAAGTTATACGTTTTTAGTAAAAAAAAGAAGTAATGTGCGTTAATAGCAAGTATGATCACTCAACGAAATATTGTTCATAACGTTCGAATACCTTAAAATATAATATTTTTTATCAGTATTCAAACTTTTATGTAATTTGCAAAACGTACTAGACTCTTATTTAGAATTAACACTTTCGATATTGAAGTACCTATATATAATTTAATATTTCGTTATTCCGACATTATTCTCATAGTACTAGACAACCCGTGTCACTCTTGACATTTGCTTACTGATTAGTGAACATCAAATACCTATGACATATGGAGGTAAATATCAATAGAAATAGGGGCTGGAATCTGGATTCTTTGCTTCTTTAATACAGATAAAATAGAAAATTAATAAAATAATGTTTTTCCTCAACTTTCCATAACAAGAAAGTTAATTTAAGACAAGGTTTTTTTCCGAAAATTTATATAGCTAAATATGTTTTGTGAGTAAATATAAAGTTGTTAAGAAATCGAAAAACTGTATTTAAAGAGATTTACGTATTTGGTCATTAACTTCCTTTTAATGTTTTATATAAAAATACTGGCATTTAGACTTCTTTAAATGGTTTATTTGTTTATTTAAAATTAAATCTATCAAAACACAAAACCAAATTTTTATGACGTCTACATTTAATTAATTATTTAAATAAAGAGAAATTTTTACTGAAATGGGAACTATATCAAGCAAAGATACAAGACGTATTAGTTTTAATAATACATTTACTATGAATACTACTTTAAATATTCCAAAACCTATGGAAGACGAAGACGAATTAAGCGATTTGGAAGTGGTTAGTAAATAAACGCTGTAAACGCAATATTTTGTATTTTTATATATTTTCGTTAGATTTTACATTTTTCATATATCTGTCTATAAAGCGTATTTACGACAAAAAAATCTTGTATTTTTTTAAAAGTCTTATTATCAATAACATAGCCGATTTCAAATAAAGAGTCACATAATAAATGTATATGCTTTACGCAAATTTTTTTTGATTGCCTATTTAAACAAAAATTAATTTAAGCTTTCTTTTAACAGCAATCATCTACTGAATTAGCGCTTAGAGATCGCAGTAATTCCATTAAATTGCACGATGAGGAACAAGATTATTGGTCTCACAGAATCGACTATTTAAAAAATGAGCATCAAATTATAAATAAAATTGTTGAAACTGAATATCAAAAAACTATCGAAAAAACCAGACAAATGTTCAACATACCTAAAGTAACTGAAGGTAAAATTAATAGAATAAAAAAATGCTCTACCTGGCGCGATAAGGTAAATAATACAATTTTTTTTTTTTTACTATATACACTTAATCTGTGATAAGGAACTATTTAAAAATATGAAAATTAAATCTAAACCATAACCTTAAATATTTGTATGAACGACTACAGTTGTATATAGCCTTAAGACATCATCTAAGATTATTTTTTAAAGAGAATAATCTCTGTAATGTTGAAATTGACTCGTCGTACTATAAAGTATCCAAATACGATGAAAAGAGAGCAAAAACTCGTGTTATTAAAATAATAATAAAAAAATTAAGTATAATATAAATTCTGCAGATGTTGAAGTGCTATGAAGATTACCCTCGTCAACCCTTAATGTGTTCATCTATTGTTCAGGCATTCAGCAACTGTGTAGCCTCGTGTCGTCTTGAGGACTAAACAAAATTGAAATTGAAACTTTAAACAATTTATTAATTTTTTTTGATATGGTATATTCAAACTAACACAAGTTTTTTTTTTATTGGTGAAATGTAACAAATTACTTATAAAAAATAATAATGTATACAATTGAAGTTGTACTTGAATTTAGTGAATTGTGTTAAATTTTATTTATAAATTATTAAAGAAAAAAAAAGTCGAAGAGGAGGCGATTTTCTTAAACCAGACCTTTTTAAACGTTTAATTATTTAAACAAAATTAATATTATTAATCAAACATAATTTGCTATTAAGAGTAAAGAATAAAATCTTTAGATTGAATAAGAATTTAAAGTAGCACCGTAAAGAAATCAAGTTAGGAAAGCTTTATCTCTTTAATTTCGTTAAAGTTGTTAACAAATATATCTTTTTTATTCAAATAGTTCGCCTTTTGATATATATAAAATGAATTTTTAATTTCTTTACTAAATCTATTTAATAAAAAAACTATTTCTACAATTATTTAAGCGGCATGGTCTTAAATCTTAGCCTGTCGATAAGGACGGTGTGAAGAGTAAAAATTATGTCAATGTCATTTTTGTAACTGTTTAATTTAATTCAAAAATGTTAGGTAAATACCTAAATAAATTTAACATTTGTGTTCAAGAATATTTACGATATGACTGAATAAAATATCCACTTTTGAAAAGTTAAAATCTGTAATTTTCTAGTAGTAAAAGTAAAACCATGACTTCTAACGATTCTAAATTAAACGATCAATCCGCTAGTCATACGATATTAGACAAAATTAATGCAAATAACTCAGATACAAGTATTAATAAGGTAAAAACTTGAAATAAACTCTTCTAATCAATAAATTAATGTCATATATATGTAATCTATTGCCATTTATTATTGTTTCTTTTACTCTCAGGTTCCAGATATAAATGATTTTACAATTATTAAACCAATTAGTCGGGGTGCCTTCGGTAAAGTATTTCTTGCTCACAAGAAAAGTAATGAAGAACAACTGTATGCCATCAAAGTTATGAAAAAGTCTGATATGATAAATAAGAATATGGTGACTCAAGTTGTGACAGAGAGAAATGCATTGGCTTTATCAAGAAGTCCATTTTGCGTACACTTGTTTTATTCACTACAGTCAGCATCTTCTGTCTACCTGGTATTGAGTGTTCATTACTTAAAAATCATACAAACTCTGTGCCATAAACTTTATTTAGTGGATTTTATATAAGTGTAATCTTTACCTTAGGTCATGGAATATATGGTAGGTGGAGATATGAAGTCACTTTTAGGTGTTTATGGATTTCTGGAGGAGCCGATGGCTGTTTTTTATATAGCAGAAGTTACTTTGGCACTTGAATATTTACATAAACATAATATTGTCCATAGGGATTTGAAGCCAGACAATATGTTGATATCTAAAAGTGGTCATGTGAAACTAACAGATTTTGGATTATCTAAAATAGAAATACACAGGGGTAAGTTAGAAATAAGATTATTATAGTTAGTTGCTGCACTATGGGATTATTACAACATCCTTCTTTTTTTTATGTATTGAAATCAGTTATTCAATTGTTTTAAATATTTTTGTTTACAGATTTGGAAATATCAGATTTCGTTAATCGAACACCAAGTCTCAATATGCGCACACCAGGACAGCTATTATCATTAACATCGCATTTATCATTTGGCTCGGGAGGCGACAGCACAAACAACTTGACTGAAACCTGTGAGAACCTTCTTGATGAGCTTAAACAAACTAGTATGGATTTGCTATGAAATACCTGTAAATACATATTATACCTAAATTTTTTACTGTCCTTTTTTTTTCAGCTAAATTAAAAAGCATATTTAGTGCTTTAGAACACTCACCATTACTAGATCACTCACAGTTGTCAGGGATTCATCCTTTCATGAGTGCTGAAAGCATCAACTTGGATGACATTGTTGTAAGTTAGTGGTAGCATTAAAAATATTGAGAAATTTTATTTTCAACTAACTTATTTATGTTTCCAGAACCAAGACTCCGGATCGGAATCCCAAAGTTCATACCACACATGTGAGAGTTCAAAGAATAGTACAAACTCGAAGAGCAATAAATCTACTGATGTCAGTAGTACAAATGGTTCTTCATTAGATTCAAATATATTTACAAATTCTCAACACGATCAGTCCACATCACCTCTATGTAGAGGACAATCATTAAAAAGGATACCGAGGTTGTTAGATAACATTTACTAAGATAAATAAATAATCGTCTTGACATCTTTTCTACTAAACCCATAATCTTTTTTTTTAATTTTCACTTATTTTAATTTCAATAGTTTTGTCTTTGTCACGTAAAAGTATTATAAAAAATTAAACTATGAAAATCTGGTTACAGTTTCAGAGCAAAGAAAAGAAAAAGAATTTTAGACTGTGATGATGATACTCCAACAGGTGTTACTAGTTTGGCAGAATCTAAAGAAAACCACAGCGGGCTCACACAGGAAATAATGGCTTTAGAATTGGAAGTCAGTCAAAATACACCAAAGAGAATGTCAATTCAGCCAACCCCTGAGAGACGAAAGAATCCGCTCAAAGGAGTTTTAAAAAAGAGGTTTGTTATAAATAATTTGGGTTCAACAATTTATCTAAAACAAATGTTTTACAATAATCTATATACTCTCGTCTGTACATCTCGTCTGACCGAGATCACGGTTGCTGAAAGTAGCCGAAACGTCGGGAGTATGTAGTTTTCTACAATAATAAAGTTGCGTAGTATAATTCGAAAAATATTAGTTTCATTTAAATCTACATACTCTTTATATTTGATGATTTCAGATGGGTTTCACAAAATGATAGCCACCATTTCAATGTAGGCGTAATATTTTCCACTCCTGTATCAAAGAATAAATCGCCAGAGACAAAAAAGAAGGCAACCAGATTCAACTTGCCCTTTAATGACACAGTGTCAAGTGAGAAAGAAAGGTCATTCACTTTTGGGAAACATATATCTACTAGCTTAGAAATTTTTCCTACAAGAAGACTGAGTAAAGTAAGTATGAAAAGTTGGAAGATTAAGAAAATTACATAGAATAGGCCTAATTTATAATCTGATCACACTTGTTGCTTCAAAACTTGTGAACTTATATAGACAAATCATTGTGTTTCTAAAACATACTCTAAGAGAGCAATTTGCTGTTCTTAGTGATTTTAGTAAGGTTTCTGTAGAAATTATTCAAATCTGTTAAATTTAATAATTTTTTTATTACAGTCTACAGTTTATTACAGCTCTAACTTAACTGTAAATATTTACTTTGTATATACATTTTTATTTAATAGTTAAGTAATTATTAACTTCACATTTCAAATAAAAACTTTTAAAATCATATATTATATACAAAAAAAGTTAAAACATATCAGTAAAACTGATGTTTTCATCCAAAGTTTCTTATTTTGTTAATAATATCTATAAAATATATAATTCCAGGGCGAGGGTAGCAGATCTCCCACTGAAGTATGTAAGACTCCTCTAGCTACTGTCCACACCCCGTACAGAACACCGAAGAGCGTACGACGTGGCAATGTTTCCGACCAGAGGATACTCGGCACGCCAGACTACCTCGCGCCTGAACTGTTGCTCAAGTACGTGTAGAAAACTAGTTTAACAAACGATACCCCTTGTAGGATCCCTGGTCCTACATGTAAGTATGTATAACTAATCACTGGCTCACTACCTACCCGCCTAGAGCGCAGGCGCACGCCACCGTTCCACTAGTCATTAGACTGCCGAGCGCATGTCACCCCCTCCAGTGGGGTACGTGAGACAGTGTATTATATCTATTGTATAGATACATACACTACACCACTGGTCTAAGTTTGCATCGTCAACAATAAGCTTAAGTTAGATCAGTGTGATTATATGAACATGTGTATATATTTAATATACTCGCCTAGTCTGGGTGACAAATTTCCGAAGCTCTGTTTTCTTGCATGGCCTTGTCAGAGGAAAAATTTTTCTTCCGATTTCAATATGCATCATCAATCTCCTTTGAGAGTATAGTTTGTTTTGTGTGACACAGTCTAAGAGAATAGCAAGGGATTACTATTATACTGAGGGTGTATTTTTTGTTTATTGTTAAAAAAGTGGTGGGCTTAGTTTATGTAAGCACTATTATAATAACCAATCTAAACATGCGCAAATTTTTTATTTATTATATATATTTTTTATCGAATTTTTTATATATACTATACTGTCAATTCTAATGGCTTAGACATAGTCATCAGTAAACCTAAAAAGGTTGGGTGCTGAAACCTTTCTTACCTCACTTTAAGTAATAGGGAGATTGAAATACAATTTAATTATACCAAATGATAATTCTACAACCAAGGCTGTAATAAATTTTGTTTCTGTCACTGTTTTTTTGAGCTAATGTTTATTTTACATCTTAAAGTTTTATAAAAACTCACTTTTATTTTATAATTTTTTTTATATATCTTTAAATTACAAATTTTCTATATCATCATTTAACGCAATCTAATTTAAAGAAACCTAGTCTTGGTAATTAAAAAAATTTGAAGGCGAGTTGTAATATATATAAGATATATATGATGATACATAATATAAATATGATGCCGCAATTTATGTGATTGTTAAATTTAATTGTTGAACTATTTTTCAGAAAGGGTCACGGTCCGGCAGTTGACTGGTGGGCTCTTGGCGTGTGTTTGTATGAATTTATGACAGGAGTCCCGCCCTTCAATGATGAAACACCACAGGCTGTTTTTAACAACATCCTCTCAAGAAGTAAGCTTCCTGACAGATTAGTTCACATATAAATAATTTGAAGCGTTTTTAAAGCTGAGTGGATCAATCGAGTTCTAAAAAGTACTATAAAAATAGATTTAAACCACGAAAACAACAATTTTTGTGATTTTCTATAAATACCGGCTTTTGCTAGCGCGTATTTCGTATTTGGAGTTGGATAAGAATTACCAGATTATGCTTCAATAAAAAATGAAACAAATCTAATTCGTCACGTGACTTCTTACAAAATACATTTTATTCTCCTCTGGATTTGGGAATTAGAGCCTTTCATAAAAGTCCATTTTGTTTTGATAGTGTAATAATATCTATACTAATATTATAAAGCTGTAGAGTTTGTTTGTTTGTTTGAAAGCGCTAATCTCCGAAACTACTGGTTCGAATTGAATAATTCTTTTTATATTGGATAGTCCAGTTATCGAGGAAGGCTGTGGGCTATATAACATCACGCTACGACCAATAGGAGCAAAGATATAGTGGTAAATGTGTAAAAAACGGGAGAAATTATTTCATCTTTGAAACCTTCCGTTGCGTGCGCCGTGAAAACGGTTCAAGATATACAAAAAATATGTGTTAAAAAATAATGGCTCTTTTAATGATCTAAAAAACAGTCCGTGACAGTATATGTCTATCTTTTAAGATTAACTCATAATAACCGTTTTTATGGTACCTAATTTGGTCGAAATAATTTGTTTAAGTTGTATCAACATAATAATATTAATCTTTATTCAAATAAACAACTAAATATGTTGTTGGTTAAGAGTACTCCATTGTGAATAAAAAAAACATAGGTTTTATCCTGAAAATTCTACGGGAACTCGACCATTCCGAAAACCCCGCAAGAACGGGAACTATGTGGGAAGAACCAAAAGTCACTATTCCACGCGGACGTAGTCGCGGCAAAAGCTAGTTATACATAAAACTTCTCAATATATTCGCACGAAAACTTATTTCTCCGATAACAGTAGATTTTCCAACTGTTTTACTTATTACATTAAATTTGTCTAAATTCGATGTTATTTAAATTGAAACCTCTTGATATTCAGATATAGAATGGCCTGAAGATGACGAGGCTTTATCCACGGAGGCTGTGTCAGCGATAGAAGCCTTGCTAACGATGGAGCCGCAGGAGCGACCCGCGGCTACCGAGGTCAAGGGAATGGCTGTGTTCAGGAACGTTGATTGGGACAACCAGTTACAAGCTGAGCCGCCCTTCGTACCGACCCTCGATGATATATACGATACGGGTTATTTTCAAGGTGAGCCATTATTGTTGTTCAAATTCACATATACCTTATAGGACAGAGAAGTTAGACAGAGAACTCCTCCGAAACCCCTGGACCGATTTTAATGAAATTTTGTGAGCATATTGAGTAAGTCTGAGAATCGGCCAACATCTATTTTTCACACCCCTAAGTTTTATAACTTAGGGGTACGAAAAATAAAAAAGTGTAACCACCCTTAATTCTTTTTCTTTCGGATTTTTTTTTTTCATTTTTTATAATATAGCATTATAAAATACATCCAACCCAAAAATTTTAATTTTTTATGACCAACCTCTGTTTTTTCATATGGCAAAACAATGTTTGCCAATTCAGCTAGTATGTATATATAAATGCATTTATTTATATGAGCATTCTATAAACAACATATGTACATATTATGATTGTTCAGACTCAAGTAAATAAGGAATCATTTAACACTGGAATATGAATATTTAATATGTATCCACAAACAATTTATAATGTTTGTTTCCAGCTCGTAACATTCTGCAACACCTACATGTATCCAACTTCGATATGTAAGTTAGATGTTTTTAGTTAAATATTATTTAGTTAGTTTAAGATGTTGATGATGTCCTTATTAATTATGTCAATATATTTATTTTTGTGTAAATGTATTGGTGATGTATTTTTGTATATTTCAAGGTCACGTTGAATGAGCTAATGTGCAATTATATTATAGTATTAATATGCCTGTATTGCCAATATTATGCCATTATTACATGAATCTCTTTTATAATAAATAAAAATAAGAATATATGAAAAATATTTTTTATTTCTTTTTCTAATTATTGGCACATGTGGTTATTATACATTGACAATTCATTAAGAAAGACAAGAGTTATGTTGTCTTTCTCAAAAAAATTGATAGAATTTTTATTGATTCAAAAATATTTTATGATAGGAGTGCAAGAAGGCATTTCACTTAGCGTTCTTCTGTATCCAAGGTAGGAAGGAAGTGATTCGTGTGTAGACCCCAGGGTACTGACCCTTACCACATCCTATACCCCAGGACACTACACCGACTTGAGTCCAACGACCACCTTCATTCACCATCAGAGGTCCACCACTGTCGCCCTGTAAACGACATTACACATACATACATGTATACATAAACAAATTCCATGACCAGCAACTAAAATTGAATACAAAATACTTTACCGATATCAACTTCCATTACAGCAATTTGGGATGGATAATTTACATAATAGAGCATAATTAAATGTGACTGTTTGTTGCTAGATTTTTTATGACGTGGAAACAAAGACTTAAATCCTTAAAAAATGTAGGAGTTTGTGGTGCCGTAATAATTCAATATATAAACAAATAACACAAACAAAATTCCTTTTTCCTAACTATACACAATATTGAGATAGTAAGATACTTACACTGCATGAATCCATACTGGCTTTACCAGCGCACAGCATGTGGTCAACGATCCCACCAGGAGCCGCGGAGCCGTACTTGAGACGACACTCGTTGTTAGACCAAATTGGTATTGACACTTCCTGTAGAATAGATGGTTGAGGACCACCTAGAAATAACTCGAGATTAGTCACCCAAACTGTCCTTAAGGATTATATTAAATTGTATATGGATCTACATACTTTCTCTCAAGCTTCCCCATCCTATGACGGTCGCGATAAGTCCAGAATAAGCTCTAGCTCCTCCGGGAAGACAAACCGGTCGAATGTTCTTTGTGAAAGTCACAGGTTGATCCAAAGTCAGAACAGCTACGTCGTTGTACTACAAAAAAAAATAAAATAGAATTAGTGGACCTTTTAAAAGGCTTCCATAATGTTATATATTATTTTTGTACGGAACAGAATCAATTTAAATTTGATATTTAGTCAAAGATTCATTCGTTCATGGCTTACTAATGTCCTCATGTCGAAACCACGATGTCTGACAACTCTTTTGATTCTTCTCTCAACGTGTTGTGTCTCTGTGTTCGTCCGTATGTTGTAGTCTCCCATTCTCGCTGTGAGTCGAGCCACATCCAACGATGTCATACTGCCGGTATAAATTTTAAGTTCCTTACTTTACACGACTATGTTCCTAACATTTTTTGATTATTGACTCCCATAAAAAATAGAAATAAAAAAACATTTAAAAGCAGGAACATGTGAACGTTTTTTTCAATGTTGTACATATAGACTTACTTGAACTTAATTTGGTAGAAAAACTAATTGTTTTTGATCCTTTATAAAAAGTAAAGCAAAGAGACAGGATAAAAACTACTGTTAATACTAACGAATGAAACACCTTAACTAAGTAACAATACTCACTGAGCTACACAATGAGCTGCTGTTAAAACATGTCTATCGTCTATAAGGGATCCTCCGCAGAATTGTCTTCCGTTATTGAACAGCGCTACTATCCACGGCCACTCGTTTAGCTCCGCGTTATGACCACCCACTATACGCTCCTCGTCAAGAGATTCATACGTACTTCCGTAGGTCTGATTGGGAAATTTATTCGTAATATATTTTTTTAAAGATGCCAATATGAGATTATTAAAAAATTCGACATTATCAAACTCATACCTGTGGACCGTTCTTGATTCCACACGACGAATCCACGCCCGGTTGTCCGGTTGGCTTAGTGGGTTGTGTGGGATATGCCGGAGGCCAGGTCTAAAGAATTAACAATAGTTAGAGTCCCAAATATAGTGTACATATTTATATATATTTTCATATCCTAACCTGTTTCGTCGTAGCTGGAGGTTTCGTACCCCAAGTTGTAGATGGTAAACCGTTTGAAGGTTTAGTCGTAGTCGGAATACCGGCAACTAACAAAAATTACATTACATGACCTTACATTACATAAACAACGTATTATTTTAATTGATAGAAGTTAGCAGATTCACTTTACACCTAATACTATGTTATTATATATTTAATCGATTTAAAAAATAGAAGTTTGAATGTTTTAACTTGCCTATAAAATATTACACTTACATTTGCAAATAACTTTATAAATGCTGACCACTACAGTCTTAATTAAGACAATAAACTTTAAATGTTAATATGGACTTTTAAAAAAGGAACAAAATAAATATCTACAAAAGTGTATCAGCATCAGAATAGCGTTCACTAAGCCTTTAACAACTCCGGAAGCGAGGTAATGTTATCCAAGGTTTTTCCAACACTGATTTTCAGTGACGAAGAAAGTCCAATGTGTATGATACATACCGATAGATGGCGGATGTGTTGGAGCTGTGTGGTCCGGTGGGTGTGTGGGTAGCGGTGGTATAGTAGGCGGCCATTGAGAGAAGATCTGGCGATGAAGAGGCTCGTTCATCCATTTAGGTACGATAGGTGATGGATTTTGGTAGCTATAGAGAAAACAAAAATTTTGAGAAAATCTATCTAGAAAGTTCTATTGAACCAAAATGTCATAAAAGTGGTAGAACTTGTATTTGAAGGTCTATTACTTCAACATTAAACATACTTGTGCATTGAAATCGGATAAGGAGGTCTAAAAAGACCAAGTCGTTGCACGTCTGGTTCTTGCTGCGGCGGCGTGCCAACGGGTTTCGTACAACACACTCCGTATACCTGCATTAATATATTACGTGCTAATTAAATAATTAACTACGTACAAAATAAAATAAACTTATGATTTATTGCTAACATTAAGATTGAACTTTTATTATTTGATCCCAGTACGTCACTTGAATGGCGTTCTGTTTATAATATCAGATTTTCAAGGCAAACATCTTGAGATTAATTGCAATTTTATTAACTTGTAATCCAATTTCATCTTTTTTTTCACAGATTTAGTAGTTCGTAAGGTACAAAGATAATTTGAATATAGGAAGTTGCAAAATACATACTAGTATAGTACCTACCTAACTTTTCAGAATCTACCTAAACTTTCTATCGCAAAAGCTTAATTTGGCCTGCTCACCTCTAAATTTTCCCTGTTTAGAAAACTACAGGTATCATAGTGACCCATGACCCAACCATCGTAACCGGATAAGTCCACAATCTTAAATAATGGGTAGCAGTCGCGAAAGCTCTTGCAAATTCCCTTTTTCCCCATAGTTGTTTCACAATCTCTTCCAAAAGTTTCATCATTTGCCTAAGAAACAAGCGAACATTCACTTTTGCTGCAACGAGCAAAAATATTGCAGCAAAACATGCAAAGTACAAACTTCTTTTATTACTTATATTATTTTGTGAAGTCTTAACATTCTCATAACATGCAATGATCTCAATATACCCAAAAGTCATTAAACATTTAGAACTGCATATGAAGAAAAAACATAATAGCATTTCTTACTTCAGGGCGATGGCTGATCTTAAAAAGAAAATGAGTACCTCGAGGTCATACAAACTTACTTGTCTAGCTTGCAAAAACAATAGTTGTTTGTCATCCCTGGTGTTGTTTGATTGACGTTTCAAACGAATCGGTTCAACTGTAATGAAAACGGATTTTTAATAAATTAAAAAACACACTTAGCCATTACTGTCTAAAACTGTGTACATTTCAAAGGATTAATAGAAACACATATCCTGGAGATTCAAGGCAATATTTTTTGCTTATTGATCACAAAAAGGATATGTTTTTGGTGATATTATGTCACTTATCACATACTAATAGTGATTGACTTATTATGAGGCCTAAAGGTAGCTTATAGGTGTCACATACAGATAACAAAAAACGGCCGTCTAGGTGGTAGGTCTTCAAAGCAGCAAGCGACGTTAAGAATGTACAGATGTTTTTTGAGGAGACGAGTGTTGAGAGAGTGCCTATTTTGGAATCAGTTCAACTTGACAAGTAAAGTTGAACTGATTCCAATATAGGCACTCTTACATATGTTCAGCAGGCTTACTCACCTTACCACATTTTTTTTTTGGCTTAAGACACAAAGTTTCAATTTTAAGAGGAGCTTGGTTAAATCCAAGTAAAAAATACACTCACGAAAACCTCTGCATAAATTTTGCCTATAACAAGTTATTAATAAAAACAATGTTTTATTGGATTTTTTAATAATAATTTACTACATTGTTCAAAACCGAAACAAATTAAATGGAGCAATAAATTTTGTTCATGGATATCTTTTTTTCAAAGAATATCGACGAGAATATTCTCGTAATATGAACTCATTCAAACATGAAGATATAAACAACACAATACTTAAAAGGGTCAATATACGTTTACACGTAAGAAGATAAATACGCAGATTACCAAATATGTAGTTCTGGGGCAGTTCGTTAAAAAGCAACTAGTAAAACATTAACTATACAGGAAGAACCATCTCAATAAAGATATTATTAGGAATATCGATATATATGTAGTCCATTATTTAGTTATATAACAATTATCTTAAATTTATACACTATTCCAGAAGTTTGTTAACTGTTATTTTTGCAACAAATGAATAAGTCACCCGTTTTATCGCAAATATCAATGTAGTGAGTAGTCGCTGCTTCTAATTTGTAATGCAGTGGGCGTCCAAAAAGCGTTGGTCCCAACGTGCAAACATGTTATTTAAATCCATAAATAACGGTGCCCGATTAGTTTAAACTGATCTGAATTTGATATACAATAATCGTCTCAAGGTTGAATTGAATCTAATTTAGCAATTTTTTTTATAAGAAACCTGTTAAAAGTACTCATTTTCAAAAAAAATGTACGTTAATTTAAATTTATTTAGAAAAACTGTGATAAAAGACCATGCCGAAACCTCTTAGTCATATGAAATTTTAAATAATGTTATCGATTTTATTAAATATCATTTAACAAAAAAGGACAAGATTCTTTATTTTACTTTACATTATTTTCAATTATATTGAGGTAAACTTTGATGTTTTTGAACTGGTAGGAATTTTTGAATAAAAAAAATTAAAACATTCTTCATATATTCAATATTGTTTGAGTTCCGGGTTCTAATTACTTAGACATGCATTTTGTTTAATAAAATTATTATTCGTACAATTATTATTAATATTTTGTATATATACCTTATTTGTGAAGTCATCTGGCATGATCTAGCAAAAAGAATTTTTTGTGTTTTTCTAAACACCTATAAAACTATTTAAGGAAATACACACATTCACATTTTAATTACCTATTTTATAAAATATGGTATGCTTGGTTAGGTACACGAAAATTAACAGCTTTCTCAGGCTCAGAAAGAATTAAGATATTAAGAAAGAAAAAAAAACTAAATACAACCTCTCCCATAAATTTGACTAATATATTATTATAACTCATTAATTATTTAAAAAACAAGAACGTCATTAAGAATTATCATCAATTATACGCATCTATCTATTATCTATTTAAATTTGATAGTAGATTTCAAATAACACTCCAATTAGAGCAATTTAAACATGCATGGTATGTCACATTTTAACTAGTTTTTTTGTTTCTCATTTTTAAACGTATCTTAAATATCTAAAACAGCGATGTTTTTGATATAGCTCTTAATATAGTATGAAGATTTTAAATTATGCATAAACAATCAAAAAACATCTTAACATAAAAACAAAGGAAAATAATACTAGACATATTAATTATACATATCAACCAGGCCTATAGTTTTTTCTTAACATCGAGATGTGCTTTAATAGAACTAATAACTCATCTTGAATAAAAATAAAGAAAAGAAACAAACAAAAGTTGTCGAGTAAAATGACCGACCTTGACTATATCTGGACTAGGAATATCAACAAAATGCACCTGAAATGCCTCGATCATTAAGCCTGATTTTCTACGACGTTAATTATTATATACAAGCCTTTAACGTGTTCTACATTCAGATCTATAAGGGGTGAATATACATTTCTATCACACAAGAATGAGCTTTATAAGTTCACAATAAGGTAAAATTTTGAACACTGAATTGAAAAGAACAGCTTGCGGGAGCAGCTTCTTGAATGACACATAAAAGAAGTCGATGAGAGCCAGTGATATACAGGGAGCCGGCCACAATATGTTAAAATAAGTTTAAAACATAAATGAAAAACATTAAATAGCCTAACCAGTATATAATATTTTAGTGTAAAGTCTCTAACAACGAAAATAATGAAACAAAAGAATTTATATTTATATCAGCTGGTATTTTTATTTAATAAATTAATTATAACAGCCTATCGAATAAAAAATTTTAAAATGATATCTGAACTATCAATAGAAAACAAAGATTTAGTTGATCTTTTCGGACTATACTATATTCTATATTATGTTTGCGACATAACACACCTTGAATTTTTCATGTACCTACAACATAGTATGTTTAATTACATGATGTAAAAATCTTTAAATCTTTTCAGAAAGCATTTTTCAAAAATAACACCATTAGGTGGTTCGCGAATTTGTTATCATTCTAAAAATATTTGCTAAAGATTTTGCAGCTTAATCGCATCACGTTTATTTTTTCTAATGTTATATACGGTTGCATAAACTTTAGTTATGGTTTCATGACTTTAACTAAGATATCAAAATTCAATCCTAAATTCAATACAGTAGTTATGAAATACTGTCTATGAATTTGATCGCTCTATTAAAGGGCAGTGAAGTATTAGTTTTTAAATGTCACATCTGAGTATTTGTTCATGTACATCAAGATTATTATTAGCATTTAAAAATGTCGTTCTCAATTTGTCTCGCCCATTTTTTATTGCTAAAATTCCGGGTTCAGTTATTGAGCTAGGAAATGTCAGCTTGTCTACTCGACAGTACTTGGCGGTTCTAATTATTAGCCCTAACAAAAAATGTAGCAAGCTTGCTGAGAAGCGAGTTAAGCTTGAGGACAATGAGTGATTGATGTGGTCGGTGATCTTAGCGGGTGTGGGCGTAAGGACATTTGCATTGAATTGATATCAGGGTATCTTCCAAATTATGACTTACGTGTTTTAGTCACACTCGATTAAAAACAATGATCAAACATCTAGTCATGATTTGTATACAATCATATTGTTCGTTCATTTGAAATAATAATTTCATTTAATATTTCGTATGTTAAAATAATATATTAATAATTATTTATTATAGTACTATCACTTGTGACGGATGTACATATGTATGTGCAAATTTTAACTTTCTCTAGCCTCAAAACCCCGTACTAAGCCAAGCATTGTTTGAGACTATACCATAAGAATACAAGATAAGCAGATACCCGCTCTTTCTTTTAAAATTTAAATGTAAACAAAAGATTAACGGTATTGAAAAACATTGTGAAATAAATTAGAATAAAAAATATTTATAGGCTGCTATCTATAGCTTTACAAAAAGATTAAAAATAAATATTGTTTTCGTTAAATATTAGTATAAAGAAAAACTTTTCAATGTTCTTACCACTAATAAAAACTGCATCATCGGTGTAAAGGGCGCCATCATTAGCAGAAAATCCAAGTGTCTTATCGTCGTGTGTGAAGTCACTTCTTGAGACGTCAGTTAAAAAATGTATGAACAATATAATGAGTTTATTTTTTAATTTCATTGTTTCAGTGATAAATATTACATTCACTTGTTACAAAAGATACAAAATGTGTCCGCGTCGTTGGATGTCTCGACGGCGAGGAGTCACTTTGCAAAATGCTTACGAACTTGACATCGCGGCTTTATAATATTTTTACAATGTCGCTCTACATTTGGTTGAAAAGATAACAAAGCTTTTTTCCTTTTGTATTAAGCTGACATTTGCGGTCCAATACAAATAGCTTTTAAAGATGATTAACATTCGTAATGTGATTAAATGGGTTATAACGTTTATTTTTATAGCATCATCAATATTTTAAAAAATATTGTTTATATCGTATATTCGGAGATGGAAGTCAAAAACTTTGATTTTAATGAAAATTAATGAAGTATACCAAATTAAATTTTGCCGAACCTTCATTTTATTTTATCTTTATGTGTATAATTAAAAATATTTTCGAAAAAACTTGCAATGGTATTTCAAAAACAGTTTTCTTAAATATAATTTGTATATCCCTTTTATACGAAATTTTATATGAGACATTTTGTTTATTATTCATACAATGCTTACAATCGGTAAGTATTTTTTCCTGTACCCAAATTTAATGACTTCTAAGAATAACTTAACTGTTTGAAACTCAGATATTAATCAATCTTTAATCGGTTTAGTAAGTATTTATTATCAACTTGATGGCCAGCTAAATGCAAACATCTCAAAACGCTAAAAGCTTTATTGTTTTTCCTTTTTGTATAGTCATGTTCTCCAAACTTGGTTGTAGCCCTTTGTGAAAACTTAACGTATTAAAATACAACTGATTTTCTTTTAAATTTGGTTATTAAAGACTAAGGTATGCGAAATTATATCGTATTTGTAAATGAGAACAAGTAATTGAATAAGTACCGTAATCTAAATCTCTAAACTAATACACAAAAGGCATTCATGTAACGTCAATGACCTTTACAATATAAACATAGTTTCATTAATTCTGCGGGACCAGCTCTGTTGACATAAGATTGATACATTCTTACTGACAGCCTTAAATATAGCGTTAAATATTCCGGAGCCTTGACTACTGTATTGGAACAATTTCAATATTATCTCGATTAAAACTTTACAAATTTTCTAAAATATCCATGCTATTTAAAACAATATAAAAAAGATCGCATTAATTTGAAACCTAAAATACGATTTATATATATTTTTTGTGGCGTGTTGACGTTGATTCGGATCAAAGTCAGCTTAAGACATTTTTAGGTATGCACCACAAAAAAATTGACAAAGAATAAGATTAGTCTTAACAAGCTTTCATTAATCTCAAAAGTCAACGGTTCCGTTACGTCAATTATTTGGGCAGATCTATTGAAGCATGTTACGGTATCTGCGCTAGGTATTAAGACGAATTAATTTATCACCATCCAAATGTAGATTATTATATGTCTAGATAGATTATTGTAAAATTTTTAGCAAATCAGAATTTTAAGCTAAAAGTCAAAGATGGTACAAGTAATTAATGTATTAAAACAAAATTTAATACATACATTATAAATGAACCTGCTTTACAATATTTTAACACAACTAAATCTATTTTCCATTTACTAAAAACAAATCTTATCATGGAACATTCCGTTATCAGTTTAAATTTATTTTTATGTCCCACTAAAATAATTTTTATACTTAGGTCAAATTATATTTCAGGTTTTTGTCTAGATTATTCAGTATATTCGTGTATATTTCTTATGAGTCCTAGAAATTAATATTTGAATAGAAAAAATATAAATTAAAATTCTTCAACACGAGCATAATAAACTTGTCTTGTATAATTAGTATTATCTTAAAATTGAATATAAAAATAAAAAATATCCAGCAAATCCGTTACAAAATTTTTAGAAACTTTTATTTATCATTTTAAAACAAGGTTTTTATAATTTTTGAATTTTCTTTTAACATTGCGTTATTAAGAATGTCCATGAACTTTAAGAAGTCTAAGTAAGGTAAGTAAGTCAAACTGTTTAGGTATCACGAATATACAAGAAAAAAATATTTGGTTTTCCGATCACTTTCATATAAACCGGGGCTGCAAGTTTTGAATTTAAGTTTTATGGCTTAATAACTATTATTGTCCTCACAAAAACAGGAATGTCCTGTAAAACAAGGAAGAAGAATGCATCAAGAATTGAACCTTGGACATCCATATCGAAGCATCTTGCACCATTTACATACGTCAACTTTACCCTTTGAATTCATATACTTAAAAGAGAAATGAAAAGGTTTAGGGTGACACTTTTACGACAAATAAGTACTTTTGACAATTCCTTTGCTAGTTTTTATAAAAAATTTCAAACAATTCTTGATTATGCAACAATATATTATATATATTTTGTTTAGTAGTAGCTTTAAATTTGAATCATATTTTAAAAACTATAAACAGGATATATATTATACCTACATATTTTAAAAACTATATGTAGATATATGTAAGTGGAACTGTTAGAAGTAAGGTGTTGGTGAAAGAAGTTTGGTTTTAAATGGTTTTAAACAAACTAAGGTTCTAAGGATAAGCCAAAAACTTGAAAAAAAAAAATTGATAATAAAATCACTTACGGTCACAAAATAAACTTGTTCTGCTAAAAATGCTACATAGCGTATTTAATTTAATGGGATATATTTTCATTTCGTCCTTTTAATTGATCAAAAAAAAGATGTTACTTATGTCGTAAAAAACGAAAAATTAATTTTCCTAAATTGAAACGAACAAACTTTTAATTATATTTTTCAATAAATTTATAGGATTTGCTTACTTTATGTTATTTCGTCACACTTCTTATGTACCGTTAACAGTTTTTCATTCATAAATATTAGCATACTATAGTTTAAACATAGATTATTGAATGAGAAACGCTAAAGGCTTCGTATGTGGAGTGACGCTGCAAACTTGTGCTAAGCATAGTCCATACATACATTACGGAATGGAGGTATATACCAGAAACGATAAATCCAATTTATTTTTTTATCACATTAAATTGTACAAAGTTCTTCGCTGTATTTTGATAGGAACAAGACTTAATACACCTATATCCATTTATCCACCACATATAAATTAAACTTGTTAAAAAAAATGGCCTGTCGGTGTGATTACGGCAACATTCTATTTTGTGTAATTAATGAAATCTTTATTTCTACATGTAAATATACGGGCTTTGAGTTACTTCTTATTTAAAATTTGTAATTGAACCCCACTGATGAGTGCAGTTTAATAAATTTTCAAAAATGAAATTCTATCATAGTTATAGTATCCATCAATTTATAAAGATGTTATAAGAAACTCATAATAAACGCCATGAGAATATAGTGTTTAAAGAAATCTTTGAGAGATATTGCTAATTATATTTTTCAGGCGTATATAAATATAAAAATGTTCGCAAAAATATCAATTGTTTCATTTTACAATTCAATTAACATAGTCGGCAATCCAAAATACACAAATGCAAATATAATAATATATTTAACAAGCAACTGAATACGAAGTTGTTTGTATAATATTTTAGTTACTTTGTGAAAATAACTTGAATAGGTATATATTAAGTTATTTTCCGCTATAAAATTCTTATAAAATATATATAATAACTATTTGCTTTGCTATAAAACCTAGTCTACAGAAAAATACGATTTATATCTCTAAGAAATAATATGTCAGATCTCCGTGTTTATAATAAGTCCTTATTCTATTTAAATTATTCTATTTAAAACTTAATACATATATGTATTTGATTTTGCCTTAATTTATGACCAAGCAATAGTTTAAGTTGAGGATTCGAAAAATAATTCTTATTTTAATGGTCAGCTACGTAATACTATGAGGGTAATTTTATTCAATCAAACATAAAAAGTGTTAATTATTATAAATATTTTAATCTATTACATAATATAAGTAGAACGGTCTTTCGGTTATTCAAGATGCATTGAATGGCGGTTAAGGTGTCTGTTTACAATACATGTTTCAAGGCGAACAATCGAACATTGCCTTATGTCTTATAATTTTTTAATCTTCATGTTAGCCATATAAATCTCTACGTTTTACAGACGACTTCCTTTATCAAATTAGGATTACACTGTTACTAGATTTTAAAAAATATTGTTTGTAGAAGAAATATTGTGTTGCCTAAAAGTCATTGTGTTACTACGGCACGATACCATCCCAAAATATATTTTTAGGTATATCTATATTTGTATGTCAATTTTTTTTATTGAATTATTATAAAGTTCTTCCATAATTTCCTGACTCATAATACGAGTATTAAGTTAAAAACTAAGACTAGTTGGAGCAGAACAAGAGAAAAAATTGTATAAAAAAAATTGACCTTCTAAAGAAGCTATATATAGTTTAAAATACATTAAGTTACATAAATGCTATGAGGTGAATTATAAATATCACACTTACCTTTCTAATCAGTTCTTTTTTAAACCTCTTGAAATAAAGTTTTGGAATATTTAGTACTATGAATACATATCCGTTATTATAAGTTAGGAAAACGTAATAAAAACTTATATTTTTATAGACTAGGAGCTTACAATTTTCGAGTATTTGTGAAAACCATCGGTAACTTGCTCAGTTTTTTCAATTTATTGTGCTCCATCCTTCATGGGTGTCTAAAATTATTGTAATCCAACTGTCTTATGACTGAGTTTTTAGGAGAAAATTATTTAGTATTAGATACCTTATATGTATACATTATGAAATCCCGTAGTTATTGAGTAATTATTAAAGCTCTTGATTATGACGTAAACGCTGTGGCTATTTTAGTTATGTAAGACAAAAATTGCTTGGAAAACAAACCGACGAGCCTATTTTTAATCTATTTTGTATCCATAGTATTATACGACGATATTTTAACAGCAATTAAAATAAACCAAATAGCTATCTCTATAATCTTTATAAGTTTAAAACATGTATTTTAAGTACAAAAATTTAAACTCATATGTTAATTAAATAATTATAACATCCATCTAATTGTGTATAGATAAATCTGAACACATACAAAAAAACAAAGATACAATTTAAAAATTACTAAGGAAAACATTTAATAGTAGTCCTATTTCGAATAATTGTATGTAATCTTATTTCTATCTTTTTGTTCGCTCAAAGTTAGATTAAGACGCATCATGTTTTCTTTATTATATTTAAAGATAACCCAATCGCGGTAAATCTTATTACATTATTAATATATAAATGATTCAAGGATTTCGTTTTTAGTAATATATTCCTTTTGTAAACCTGCCTTTATTTTTCACTTGAAAATGTTATAAATTGATTGAAAATACACAAAAAACATTCTAAAATTAATTTCAAGCACAAAAAAGCTATCAGTTGAATTTAGTACTATAAACTTCTATATTTCTTATTAAACATTTTCACAAACATTTAAAATTAAAATTATCTCAATCAAAGCAAAATCTTCGCCTTAAATATGTATTATGTAACATTCCCTCGTGTCCGTCTACAAAAAAGGTTTTTTATTTCATAACTAATAGGTTGTTCGATAATGTATCTTCTTTTTTGTATATTTGATTATATTCATACGTAAACTGATAATGTGTATAATATATAAATCTCTGTGAATTCGTTTATTCCACATTCAGCCTGATGACATTGAGATCAGGTTGTGTTTGTGCAATCAGTCTACCACCAGCTTGCTATTAAGATCTTGGAATTTGTAAATCATAATACATTCAGCTAACCCGCAAGCAACCCGTTCGTTTAGTTTAACTTTGACATATTAATTATTACAATGAAATTATACATTGTCGGTTTTTTGTTTATGATCTCCAATTGTTATGGATCCGTGGATATAGGTATGTTAAATATACAGATTATTAAATATTTATTACTATTTAAGTCTCAAAACAAAGATTTTGTGACGACAGTGACGTTTAATTTTTTAGTTTTATTTTACAAAGTTGAAGGGATTTCAAAGAAACATTTTAATGCAATCATCGTTTTGATGGTTCATAATTTAAATTAAAACATCTGGTGGCAGGTAATCATATTTTTTTATTTCTTGATTCGTTTAAATTCTTGCCAGGGAAAATTTAAAAAATATTAAACTGCTTTAAAAGAAAATAATAATAATAAAAATAAACAGTATATTGAATACATTTTCGTTTGTTATAGTAAAAAACGTCATGACCTAAAAAACAGTAAATATAAAAAAACTAACTTAAATATGTGTTTCAAATTTTTAAAAATATGAAGATGTTGCGTCGCATAATAACAGATAATTCTAGGACTCACACCTAGTATTTATAGCATAAATAGAAAAACAAATTAAATTCACAATGGAAGCATACACAATATAAATACAGGTTTAGTATCTCGTTAAAGTAATTTGTTCAATCAAGTAATATTTTTTTTTTAACAATTAAGAAACTGTTTCGAAAAATATGTCCTCGTTTTAAGTAAAAGCATTTTTATTTACATAAATAAATTCGTTTCACAATAATAATATTAGTATCCCATTTTAATGCTTTTGACGTAAATAATTTTAACTTTCAAGGTCATACGTTATTTATGTATTTAATATTTCATTTTTTTTTACAAAAGTATTAGAATAAACTCGTTTTACAAAATATTGAAATTAATTATAAGGCTTAACATTTCCTTAGTTTTCATGAATAGCATGAACTTTCCTTATTCGTTCTCGTGACCCACGCTGATTATAATAGTCCAGTTTTGTATAGAGTTTTAGAAGTAATAATTCTGAACCGAACATTTTCATCTCTTATGTATTTCGTTTCTCTTATATTTAGTCTACAACGAAAACAAAAGCTGATCTTATAGGAATTATCATCATTATGAATTATATAGTTACATGTTATTAAAAAGCTAACTTTTTAAAGTATATACTTATCTATCGATTTCTATAACTAATTTCATAGGAAATAATGAAATGAGAAAAATCAAACGTCAAGCCTTACTCCATTCTTAAAGCGGCTTCGGATTGAACTATGATAATGGACACGTAGGAAAAACAATACAAAATTCTTGAGGATATTTGTGCGTCGGCCTCCAGAAAAGATATATTTTTGTATTCGCGAATTTTAAAGCACATTGCGATGACAGAGCTTACGGTTCCTTGGGAAACCAACATCCTCAAAGACCATACCATCAAGGTCAATAAATATTACGAGCTCACTAACGAACTCACTCGAAATAGGTTCGTCGTGGATTTGTACGCGGTAGAAGTGGGAGTCAGAGGTATAACAGCTTAAGCTCTCTAAAACGTACTAAAAAATTTGGGCTTGTCCAGAACTCATATTAATACATTCTTGGTGTGGAGGTGAGCATTTAACGCGCGTTAGATAGGGGCCCTTTAAAACCACACCTGGGTCGCAAGTCCCAGGCACTGCTAAAGTTCCTCTCCCTGCAAGCGATGGACTCGGCACCCGCACGGTGAATCCATTGGATGCTAAGAAGTTTCGTCTCATTACAAAAGCTTTTGATGCTCATGTTTGAATATGTACATATATGTATGTATGTATGTATGTATACACTAAAGTATTAAGACCAAATTATAAAGAAAACGCCGGAATTAATACTTATATATATTTGTTTTATTCAAAAAGTTAATTAGTTCTTGTGTCCTGTAATTAACCTCCTACATGGCCTCGCCCGGCAACTTCAAAATAATAAACAAAAAAACATATGATTGAAGTGATTTAGATAAGCCACGGTTTTGCATATTTTAGATTAATCTATTTTACAAATCTTGTTTTTTGTTACCAACAAAATTTAAAACGAAGTTATTTTCTGTAATGTATTTTCCTTTTTAGGCAAATATCTTAAGATATGTGAACGTAATTCTCCGGATGTCAACGATTGTCTTGTGGAAGCTATTCAAAATGGTATCAACACTATGGCTGGTGGAATAAAAGACATTGGGGTCCCAGCCGTCGATCCTTTCTTTCAGAAAGAAATCCGTTTTGATTATAAAAATAATCTGGTACGTATTGATTTTATTTAAAAATTCTCACATCAACAGTAATCTGGATACTAAAATCTGTTTAAAACTTACCTATTTTATTTTAACAATATTCGTCATTGCTTCATAACAGCATTAGAAGTAATAAAGTTATCTAAGCACCATGACCTACGTCGTGTGATTGATGCACTCGGCCAATGCTAGATATGTATTCTACAAATCTTGGAACGTCTCATTCCTTGATAATTATTTTAACCTTGGACACGGTGACATTGATAAAAAAATCATATTGCCAATATTAGACTGTTTTATTGATGCGGCAATATCGTAATTCGAGTTATTGTACAAAATCTTGTTTTGTTAATACTACCGATTAAGCTGTTTATTTTTTAAGAATAGTTTAATTTTCTATGACCTTAGAAGTAACAAAAAGTAATTTTATTAGCAAACTTACAAAACTTATTAAATCAGATTTTTTACGTTAATTATAGTTATAAAAAAACTGTTACGGTGTTATAGCTTCTTTAATTTATTAATACTGTAATTAATTTTAATGATTCTTATTAATAGGAACAATCTTTAAACAAATCTTAAAATGTTAATCATGTATTACAATGTTAAAAGCGTGTCTATGATATCGCATATTATGGAGATTTTTGTTTCGTATTCATTAAGTATTTGTCATTTGGATATTATACAGTAAACATTCACATGTTCATAAAACTTGTAAACTATATGAAGCACCAACCACTTAAAATTATATAAGTAAGGTTGGCACTTACATGACACCAGTAACGACTGTACGTTAAACTATTAAGTATTTTTCTTAAGGCTGTTAATATATGACATAAAAACCGGTTCCTTAAATAACGAAGTAATTTAAATAGAAGACAAAAAGATATTTGAATTTTAATTCAAGTATTACCTAAGCGTTGTTCTATTATTAAAAACAAAATGAAATAAATGTATCATGTCCAAAATATTAAGAGGATTTTCGTAAAAAACGTAATAAATTAAACCTCCTGGCCAATATGACGGTTGTGGAAAATGTTTAATTCGTCGACTTGAATCGTTCACGAATGCTTAATTGGCAAAGTAACTGGAACGTATACTTATTCCAGAAGTTGTACTTTGCAACCCTCCTCCTGTCGATGAATTTTAAAGTCTACATTTTATATTAAACTTTAAATTAAAACAAGATGATATTATTAAAATATAAACAAGAATAATAATGTAGGTAAGGTTATCCGTCATAAGAAGGTCGGCCCCTAATTAATAATTTCCGCTTGCCCAAGATCTTAGGGGTTGTCCATTAATCACGTGATCTTTTTTTAGCATTTTTTAACCCCCCCGCCCCCATTGGTGATACGTAGTGAGGTTTAAGACCACCCCCCCTCGCCCTTCTCAACATCACGTGTATTTTTAGTACCTACAACGAATCATAAAATTTTCTGAATATTATCTTAATTTAAATACAGGTATAAACTATAATCTTATTTTATTCTGAAATCAAGGACCATAATAAATTAATATTTGTTTAAAAAAGGCGCGTTAGACGAAAAAAAAAATACACGAGATATCTTACTACACCCCCCCTCCCCCTTGTGTTATTTTCGTGATTTTTATCAAACCCCTCCCCCCCCTTTCAAGCCTCACGTGATTAATGGACAGCCCCTTAGCCCCTAAATAAAAAATGTAGATGTACAAATTACTCTAATACAGTATTGTATTACAGGTTATTAGTTGTAAAATTAGTCTTTTATGATCATTTGTTTTAATGGCTTCAAAAGTAAGATAAGAAATAATAACGAGAGAAATGATGTTTTGCAGATAAAGGCTAAGATGGCTGTAAAAGATTCGTGGGTTAGAGGTCTGAAAGACTCGACGGTTAAAGACGTGAGGTAAAAACTATTCTAAAACTATCCAATAAAATTAATTAGTTATTATTGAAGCTTACAATCAGGCTATGGTATAACATCCTTGCTTTATTTGTACATGTTTTTATGAACTATAATAGTCAAATTAACCTGTTGTAGGTTGCGGGCAGATGACGACAGTTTTTATATGGAAGTAGATATGTTTTCACCAGCTATATCTGTTGACGGCAAATACGAAGGTGGAGGCAGTTACAATGATTTAAACGTTACTGCCTATGGAGACTACGTAACGAATATGAGTAAGTTGAAATAATAATATAGTATTGCTTCGAAAACCGTTTTCAGTGACGAAAATTACACTAAGTAATCAGAGAATTCAATATTTATTGTTTAATTTTGGTTTTCATTTTCAAATTGAATTTTGAACAATATCTATATCTAATATAATGTCAATTTGAACAATGTCTATGCAGGCCATAAGTTCAGATAAGAATAAAAAATCTGCTTCGCTTTTTTATTCATGCAATTTACAGTTCTATTAATGTTGAAAGCTAATTTGAATAAATCCAAACTTTAATCTCAACTCCACCCACTTATTTTATTACAGAGAAAAAATATTAGTTTTACATCATGGGCACTTTTTCGCATATCTTTTTATATAAGAATTACTGTCAGCCTGTTTATACATATCTAGTTCTTTTTTCACTATTCACGCTCTCAAACTATTTGAAATATACTTCTAGTTTCTGGTTTTTGAAGTGTTTTTTTTCTGACCTTAAATACAGGAAAATTGTTCTATTTAAACCAGTTTTAAACCGCTTTACATAGTTGATATTTTACGAATAACATATCTTAAGGTAAAGGCTAATAGCTAATTCTTTAAAAATCTATATACACAATTACAGCTGATCTTGTTTACACTTGGAAATTGGAGGGAAAACCTGAAACTATTGGAGACGATGTCTTTGTTCGAATTACGTCGTTCTACATGAGACCAGACGTTAGTAACATGAATGTCCACCTCAGCAATGACTCTCCTAGCAGTAAGGATTTAAGTGAGTATTAATAAACGTTGTTTACTCCATACAGAAAATTCATAAAAATATTTCCTTACAAATTTACAAGACAAAATAAATTATAAACGTTTATATGTAATAAGTCAAGATTATTTTTTTTACATAATTAAGAATAATTAATTATATTAATAAAAATACAAACTAAAAAGTGTCAACTCAAGATATTATTGTTACATTTTTCTCATAGTTAAATCATTTAATTTAGGATATGTTTGAATTTTGAAATCCATTTAAACGAACAGCAAGACTGAACAATTATGGTGCTATAATATTATTGGTTTTTGCAGCGGACTTGGGCGTGAAATTAGTGAATGAGAATTGGAGATTATTGTATAAAGAGTTGCTGCCATTTGCTCAAAATAACTGGAACAAAATTGGAATAAAGGTTGCTAACAAGATATTCCTGAAAGTACCGTACAATAAACTGTTTCCTAACAATTAGTTACTTCGTCACGATGTACATATTAGTTATATAAATTTAAAAGCGTGTCATGTGATAACTACTTAGTTAATAATTTTGTTATACGGATATGGATTATTGTTTTATTTCATGCAATATACTATTAAGTTTTGTTTATCAAAGATTCATTAATGTTAAGATTCATAAAAGAGTTTTCTTAAATTGGTAGAATTTTGACAATATATGTACATATTGTATGATAGTATGTTCAAAAAACTATGCTTTAGTAATAAACAATTTTTATTGATAAATTACTGGTTTATACATTTTTTCTCATAACTGTACATTTAAACTAGGCATTAAATATCAGGTCGTGATTTTTCAAATATAAAAGTTGTTTGTTTATTTTAATTGTTTCAATTTGTAGACAAGGACAAATGTTTCCAAAAATTGCAGTTCCACACGAGGCCAAATAAGCTTTAGTCTATTGCGACATACCTATTTGAATATTCACGTTTTGGTTTTATTATTGTGAATAATAATCTAGAAATTACAGTAATTATTTGTAGGATCTTTTTCTAGTAATGTTCATGTGTGGTACATACTAATTTCGTAAAGCTGGTTAAGTGACAATAATCTCATGTAACTGCTAGCTTGTAATTGCTACGGTTATTAATAAGGCAGTACAGCAGTACTATTGAGGCGGTTGGCTAAGTATAAAAAAATATTAAAACAACCATTAATTTTTATTGAAATGGGCTGCCTATGTTACGGTACCTAAAAGGAAAATTTAAAGTTCCAATAAAATAAAAAGGTATCAAATTAGCTACATTAAATTAATTACACAATTTATAATATTGTTAAATTCTCTGCAGTTCTGATCAGTTTTATTTACAATTAAAGTATTTTAAAAAATCAGTAAGCTTTAACAGAATGTCTGTTGTCACTGATGTACGGCCTCTTTTGTAAATTTATACGCGAACGTGTTAAAAACATTAGAATTATGTAGTAATAAATCCTTTATTTTTAAATTTTTTTAGTATTCACTTAATTTTATCCATTTTCTCTTATGTTTGTGCAATCTAGAGTAATTGTTTTAGATCCACTAAAATATTTTCTCACTATCACTGCATTTAAAAGCACTTGAATTTTATTATATTTAAAAATCAATCCCTGTTCTTTTCCCTTCTATGCGACATTGGCAGTATAAATTGTACACGTTCTTGTACGGATGAAGGCCACAATTAAAGAATTAAGTACCTAACTACAATAAGTATACTTTATCGGATCGTTAAACTATGGAGTTATTATTTATTGTGACTTATAAGGCACAAACAAAATGTTTTTTCTTTTTAATTTGTACTTATTAAATGAAACAAGTTTGTTGATTATTTTTTACAAAAATAGTAGAAACACTTATAACAATATCAAAGAAAAATATTTTTACGTTGTTGAAAGGGTGTTTCAATAGTAATTAATATATAATCAGAATATCTCATTAATATCGCATCATAATAATAACCTTTAAAAAAATTACAGCTTTTAAAGAGTTGACCATAAACAAAAAAAAATATTAAATTTTGTTTTTGACAGTGACATTTGACAGTAGAGTTTGATTAATCTAAACATTACTGGTTTCCCAATAGTTGCAAATTAAATATATTTTATTATCAGTCAAAACTTACTAAGAAGCTTAAAATATCATAAGAATAACATGAGACTCTATCGCTTATAATTTTTTACTTTATCGGATACAATGGCTATAATTTTGAAATATCTAGTGGCCGGTTTGGTTCGCTTTTGGTTAATACACACAGATTATTGGCAAACAATATCTAATAGAGTGGAGATTGCAACCCCTCTAAACTCATGGAAGCGTTTAATAGAAGGTGTATATTTATTTGATCACGGCATTAATCCATACGAAGGAGACTCCTTTCATGAGTCTCCAATAATGTTGTTTGTTTTCCACATTTTATTGAAAAAAGTACCCTATTTGTTACCGGTAATTTTTACATTTTTGGATGTCTTTACTGCTCATGTGTTATACAAAACGTCTAAGGCGATTATAAGGATATTTAAAGATAGTCAAGAGTCGAACAAAGATGATGTATCGGAGGAGTCTAAAACAATGCTTCTAAGTGAATCACAATTGAATGAAGTTCCAGGACATGTCCTAGCACTGTACTTGTTCAATCCTTATTCGGTTCTCAATTGTGTGGGGATGACAACAACTGTTATTCAGAATTTGACACTAGCTATATCATTATGGGGAGCTACAAATGGACAACGAGTGCTGGCGTGTGCTTTCATAGCACTTGCTACTCATCAAGCTCTGTACCCCATTCTACTCATTGTTCCCATATCAATACTACTTGCGAATGTCAACAAAGGTTGTAACAAATGCTCATATATCAGAACACTATTAGTATTTGTATTATGTTGGGGTTTCTTAATATTCATATCTGCATTTATTATGGATGGTTCATATAATTATGTATATAATACCTATGGATTCATGTAAGTAAAATATAATTTAAATAAAATATTTCTTTCAACATAATTTATAGCTATAATACTTTTTATATTGCAGATTAAGTGTTCCTGACCTGAAGCCAAATATTGGATTGTTTTGGTACTTCTTTACGGAAATGTTTGAGCATTTCAGATTGTTATTTGTGTGCGCATTTCAAATTAATGCACTCGCTCTCTATGTGGTGCCATTGACCCTTAGGTTTCATAAAGAGCCTGTGTTACTAGCCACAGTATTGATAGCTCTCTCAACTATATTCAGATCATACCCATGTGTGGGTGATGTCGGCTTTTACTTGGCTTTATTGCCATTGTGGAAGCATCTATTCTCATGTAAGAACGATTTATACTCAACCAACATTTAATGCAATTATACTTTGTAGTAATTAATATATAAAATGATATATATTTTTCTTGTTTTTCAGTTATGCAACAAAAGTTTATTGTTGGATGTGCCTTTATCATCACATCAGCTCTCGGACCAACTGTTTGGCACCTCTGGATCTACTCTGGTTCAGCCAACGCGAACTTCTTCTTTGGAGTAACCCTTTCTTTCGCTACAGCACAAATATTTTTGATTACAGACCTATTATTTGCATATATTAAAAGGGAATTCACTCTTAAACATGGTTCATCAAGACAAATTGACGGGAAACCAGCCAAATTAGTACTACGATAATGTATTTGATTGTATAAAAATTAAGATAATATGGCATTTAGGATCACAGAACAAATGTAATTATTAAGAATGAATTAATTATGCAAGAAGGCCATTCCAGCAGATAAAGAGATTAGTTCTTATATTAAAGATATTTGTTTAAGATAATATTAATGATGTATAAATGTAAAAACAGAAAATGTATGATTCAATACAAAATCCATATTTATTGTCTGTTTTAATGTGAGTGTTGTGATTGCAATTTATTGCTTAACAGAAATTTTTTATGTAATTGTTTTTTATAATTTTCGATTATTTACTGAAATTATCCCCGCTTAAAGGTGTCCTTATGAGGCGAAAATTTTGTTTGTGCTTATGATTTAATACGGAACTTAGTGTAATGGGCAATCTTAATAACATTATTAGTATTATGTACCGTTATTATAAACACGATTTATGTTCCAAAGCCACATTTAACACACTTATATTATTCATAATTTGTGTCACAAGGAAATGATGAATTTTCAAAGTATTGTCAATAAAGAATTTGTTATTAAAACGTATTTTATTTTTCCATTAACTTTTGTGAATCATTACGCTCCATATACGAAATTATCTTATCTCAGCCCATCGCCGTATCTCGCACGCCCTAACGTTGAACAAGAATCAGTAATTGTTTACTGTCATTACATGAATTACTTTCCAACATGAAAGAAATTATATATTTAGTGTTGATTTGTATAATATTTCACAGTAAGTATTAATTAAAACTTACTAATACTTTGCCATTAGTATTGGAAATTAAATTAATGGTTTTATTTTGATCTTCGTTATTTAAAATCATTTTACAAAATATACATATTAGGTACTCTATAAACTTGTCATCGTGGAGATGTAACTTATTTTATGAATTAAAAACAAACGATAAATATTTTAGTAATAATTGTTATTTTTTTTAAACAGGTTCCAATGAAGTGATATTATCAAGAGTACCAACACACTTGTTGGATTGCTACCAGGGTGGAGGCCCAATTTTAGGTGCTCCGAGGCGACTGGACGTTTTCTTATCACTTCTAAGAAAGCTGGAGCAGAACTCTAGTCTCGATATGAGATTGTTAAGTTCGGCTTTACTGAGAAGGTATCAAGTTACAGCTTGATTAATTTTCCCTTCGTACAATTATCACTGATGATTTTTGTTTACAGTCTTCGCCTTGACGGTATTGAACAATCAGCCAATTCTGTAGAAACCGATGTCTATTTGCCATACGGGGCTTCTGCATTCCAATTTCATAGATACAAGCTCCTCATGGAGATATTTCTACCAAGTCAAGACTTATTGAATGTTAATGAGACTTTGAGCACTGTAGAAAAATGCACTCTTCACAAAATGCTAAGTTCCACAGTGCAACGTTGGGAGAGGGGTGATGAAAATGTAGTATGTCCCTTGTCAGCTGAGCGGAGACATATGGAACAGAGTGCTAATAGGTAAATTAAATCAACAGATATAATGTGCGGCACAATTTAATTTTGTTGCTTAGATTATTTCAAACGCTTTGTTATTATCGATATGTCTTTAGATTTTCATAATTGTTTGGAATTTACTGTTTTTTTTTTAATTTCTTAGAATAAACAGCCGATGTCCTATAGAAGACGGTGTAATCAAGACAGACTGGGGTACAATTTCACCGGGCATTCTAGTTGCTGCTCTTGCATCGTCACTAGAGGCGCAGAGAGTTGATATAACAGATATATTAGGAGCAGATATATTTAAGGATGAGGTATCTCAATCCTTAGTAGAATCCGCTAAAGAAGATTGGTACGACGAACTAGAACAATTTGATGTTAAATCTAAAAGCCTTAACACAAACACGGATATAAGCAATGTGTGGGTAGCAACTCTCGCAGGTATTTCCTATCAGAATAAAAAGAGGTTTATGCAAAAACTATAAAATATATTTCTTAATATAAAAGTTCAGTTTCTTAATACAAAAATAGATATTTTATTTAATTTCTGTAACTTTTACAACTTTAAATTTAATATTTAACAACGATGGTTTTTATAGGTGACTTAGCAGAAGTTGTGATCAACCAAGGCGCGAGAGTGGGAGCGTCGGCACAGAAACTGATGGTAGGCAGCAGCAATCGTTGGAACGATACATTTATTCCTAGAAATTATTATCTATTTCCTCAAAACGCTACTGTTCCTGATTGGCATTTTACTGATGCTGAAATTTTAGCTGGCATAGACGGTAAAATATATTGCAATGAAAGATTTATATCAACCATTATAGTTAAGCGATATGTCGCAGCCGTTTAATGTTAGTTCTTTATTTAAATAATAAAGCTTGTCTTTTCAGGACTTATCATAGCTAATTACTTACCTAAGTGGGTGGAACAACGACGTTCTTTGCGACTATCGCAGGTAATAGAGATGTATTACTCAAATGAAGGAGTATCTTTCGATACATCGGTACGAGCTTGTAACAGACAAGCTTTGTTTGCGAATATCGTCAATGGCTCCCAGTTGTTCACAGAAACGTCTAGATTTGCTCACATGTTATCACTCCAACAAATAACTGTTTATATTCCAAAGGAGGAAATGGAGAGAATAACAACAACCGCGGTGGGAGTGTTCATGAATTATGTCCGTAAGTGTAAATGATAAAGCAATAAATGATCATGGGCTGTCATTTCACAAAACAATAATATAAAAATACAGGTCATTTTTCTATACTTAATCTATATTTCGTGATATGAATTATAAGTAATGTTAACGTTTTAGCCAATCTGCTAAGGCGGTCTCACCAAGAATGTAAATGGAGGCCAATTGTTGCGAACGTTGACTTAATAGTAGCAACTGATGGCAGTTGGAAAGGATATGAAGTAGAACAGTTTATGTCGTAAGTAAAACCTCAAATATTTTGAATAAAAAGTTACACATTTTAGTAATCATTACATAATATTCTATTATTAAAAAAGAATTACCAAAACACTTCGAAAAGTGGTAATTCGTCTCTATATCATTTTTTGGTTGAGTCTCTTGAACGGATTCCTTCAGTAATTGATTAAAATCATCCTAAACATATTTACATGTATTCTTTACTTAAAATTAGTAATGTAAATAAACTTTTTTTGCTTCTAGGTGGATTAGTGAAGCTATAGAAGTAGGAGCTCAGGGTAGCTCTATATCTCTCGTAAATGGAAATACTGGTGAATGGATAGTTCGTCCTACTAATTTAACAGAGTTCTTTGTAATGCTTACCAACGATACAATACAATGTACGTATCCTCATAATGAATATGTTAACAATATAATGCGTTAAGGTCGCATTACTTTTGACACTTATTTTGTATGACTATAGAATTTATAATATAGTAAGGTTCTTTTATCAAACAGGGCCAAACCGCCTCAACCTTCCAAACGTTATATCCCGAATAATTGAGTATAGTCGTGATCAAACTCTTCAAGATATATCTTTTATGGTGAGTGCTGGTCGTAGTACAGTCGTCCTCATTGTTACTTCAGAGAGACCCTCAAATGACGAGTTGGAGCGCTCCAGATCCTTGATGCATTCCTTGAGGCAGAGCTTCTATGATGTTTACTTCGCATACGCAGCCACTGACATGACAGAGTATCAGAATATAAACAACCAGTTCATGGATTACTCAGAGCTATTTTTAAAGGTATGTTTACAAAAAAATAACATATAATGCTCAATATCCTTGTTAAAAAAACATTTAATGACGTAAAGGTCGCAATGGTCTGCATATTGATTATAATTGAGTTACAAAAGAATGCCTTTAATGAAAGATCGAAATATTTCTTTGTTCTTATCTAGAATGACAGATAATTGATTAAAGTTAATATAAAAGACGACTAAAGAGATGTACCTTATTTTTTGAATATATTTTTAAACAATTGTTTTTATAGAGGAATTATGTAAGAGAAAATAACAAGAGATAAGTAATGAGAACTCTTTAAATATTTTGTGTATTATTTTGCAGATAGACTCAAATTCAGTCATTGACGTAATAAGGACCGTGGATATTCATTTAGTAAAGAATATTATTCCGTTCAGAATAATTGGCCCTCAGTGTCCAGTCAATGGCACTAATTATTTACAAACACCATATGAGAATTATGTTCTACCATACCGTGAACAGTTCTACCGCATTCATCCGTATTACTTAAGGCAACAGCCGCTTATCAATATACAGGTAAAAACTATTTATATACATAATTTCCGATAAAAGTTTATATAAAATTGGCAAAAACAATTTTAAGAGATCTTATCTTACATATGATTTTTTAAATAACGAATCAGTAGGTATCAAATAATTTTTTAAGTACTAAACACATTCTTATTAGTTTTGACGTGAAATAACAGTATACCTAATGAAATAACATATATTTTTTTCGCCAATAACTGTGATACCATTATTATTAATACGGAATGTCGTAGGGCTTCATTTATTAATTATATCAGGAAGGAAATTGAAATTATGTTTTAAAAAAATAGATTTACATATTCCCCAATAATGTATTTTAATTAAATAATATGATCTTATGCCATCTAAGAAATTATTAGAAGCCTTTCATAATCGCGACATCTATGATTAGGTGTATAAACAATAGTTAAAACTTAAACCGCAAGATGGCACTGCCTGTTCTTTGACATCGTAAAATAATATTACAGGGGGCCTAGGTCAGTGAAATTTACATAATTATTTGGCTTTAAAATTGTCATCGCCCCAATTTTGGACACGTTTTAAAACCCAATCTTATATTACTAAAGGTTAAGGTGCTACGAAAAATAAATCACTTAAATATTTTTTTTATGCTAATACAGTAAAGAGTCGGCTATATTTTTTATATTAGTATTTAAACATTATAACCAAATATATTTTCTAGTTCCGTAACGACGGTCAGGGGCAAATACTGGTGTGTTTGTGGCGCGGAGCTGAAGTTTCCCGCAACTGTCAAATGATAAAAGAGAGGGATGTTTATACATTTAATCTAACAGACCCTTGTCCTTCGCCCGAATTTTGTCCTCCTGCTCATCTTTCAGTAAAAGCTGTAACAACATTAAACTCATGTGCAAGTACGAATCATTTATTCAAATATAAAAAATAAATTAGTAGAAATCAAAAGAAAATAACCAACTCAGGCCCCGGGGGGATTCGAACCCCCGATCTCCTGTTTACTAGACAGGCGCTTTAACCAACTAAGCCACGGCGCCATCAAGTTGGATTCTGAAAATTCATATATTTTTATATTAACATATATATTTATATAAATCACAGAAAAATGTTTGTCTTTATGGAATCTTAAAATTAAAAATATATCCAGATGAAAATTTTATACTATTCAAAGAGGTATAATAGTATTCTTTAATACTAAATAATTTATAGAAATAATTAAATGTTGAAAATTAGCTCTGTATTTTGTAATAAACATTTAGGTGGTATAATGACACAAAAATTCAGGCTACAAATTACATGACAGTTCGTTTTTATCAGCCAAATTATACACAAGTATTTTTTGTATTAACATATACCTAATGGAAATTTCATTTTCAGATAATGATTGTCGCCTGCCGCACCAAGTTGGTTATTACTTCCAACATTCTGGCTTTAGATGTTTGCCTCTTTTGGGAGCCGCGGCCTTTGTCAAGCCGTTTATGAAAGTTCAAATTGTACTTTCACTCATGATCTCATTCCTATACTATTTCTGTTAATAATAAAATTGGTATCTATGGTGGATCTTTAATTTCGAAAAAAATTATATATATAATATATACAAGAAATTGATAATAAGGATGAATAGTTTGACATTATCACCATGTTATGTCTATAATTATAATAACAAAATAGTGATAAATAACAAAAAGGATATTTGTACCCCTGGTGGGACTCGAACCCACAATCCCCGGCTTAGGAGGCCGATGCCTTATCCATTAGGCCACAGGGGCTTATGTTTACAGTTTTAAAATACACTATTAATCATCAAATAGTTTTAAGTTAAATTTAAATTTTTCAGTTAAATTAAAATTATACACTTTTAAATCTAAACTTATTAGACATTTGATAATTATAACAAAAAATTAAATACTTATTTAATATTCCACACTTGGGAAGTAGGTAAAAAAAATAATTGGTTGTTTGTAAAGTAGGTTTACGATCGAGATGTTTACACGGTGATAACGTCTTATTGGTGATGTAAGTTTTTGGGAAGTAAGGAATAATAAAGATAACAATTTTTTCAAATTTTAAATTACATCTATCGTTTTCAACGAAAACTTAACCGCACGAGAAAATATCCATTCGTTTGTATGCCGCTAGAGTGAGAGAGACGGAAGATCGGTCCACTCACTCGAACGCTATGCCTGCTTCCGCTCTTGAGGATTGCGCGTGACAAGTTTCAGGCCTCGGCCTCGAATCTCGCGGGTAGCGGGGCGGCAGCGGCAGCGGCGCGCCAAGGGGGCGGGCAACGCATACCTGTTCTCGAAACTAGCGGGCAGATCGCGCGGCACTATAGCGGTGTAGTGTTGTGTTCGTGGTTGTGTTGTCGAGATATTTGTTTTATTCGCGAACAAAATGTCTGAAAAACGGCGACATCTTTATGATTCGAAATCATTCCTAATGCTCGATTTATTGTGGGCAAAAGAAGAAGTGGATCCCTACTATAGGGCAAGGAAAATAAATGGCGAGTTTTATCGAAACTATGAAGAACAGAGACAAAATCCCGACATTCTACGACTACACCAGAATGAGTGTAGAAACATTTGACTATATTCTTGAAACTATCAAGAGTGATTTAGAGTCTGGAATTAATTCAAAACGATTTAGATCTATATCTTTTAGAAATTGTGTTGCACTAATTTAGTAAATCAGTGTAAACTCTATATAACGACAACAATTAAGTAATAAAAAATACCTTTTAAGTGGCTAAAATTAGTAAACACTGCGCAGCTGTGTACGCTCTTTTGTCGCTTTGTTATCCTAACCCGCAATAAACTCGACAGTCATACCGAACTTTCTAAGAAATTTGTTCTTTTGTTTACAATTACAAATTGCTTACACGTGAAAAATTCAAAGAATATTTTGTAAATAATCGCATTAGTTACTAATTAATTTGTAAAAGTTAATAAATATTGTATTTGACATAATAAATCATTATTATATTTACCTTCAATATTCAGTTCGTTTTTTATTTCTTCCCATAATTGGTTAATTCATCTTCTATTTTTATGGTTCACATCTTTGCTGTTCTATAAGGGTGTCCTCTCAAAGATTGCCGAAATAATTTGCTCTTGCACGTCCGAATACATTTTGATACGTCACAAAAAAAAATTACAACACTACAATGCAGACGCGCAACGCGGGCGGTCACCGCTTCACTGGAGTGCACCCGTGCACCGCTCGTTGCCCGCCCCCGCCCTGCTCCTGCACCGCTGTATTCGAGGCCGAGGCCTTACGGAACGACTGGCAGCGCTCGAGATGAGACGGGAGATCGGTCCGTCTCTCTCTCGTTATACCTGCGATCGCGCTCGTGAGGTTTTGGTGTGACACAAGTTTCTGAACATGTCACCCGACTAAAACGATTTTAAAGAAGTTATCACGTTAAAAAACAATTCCTTTCTGAAGAATTTCTTATAATACATAAGCATAATAATGAGTCAATAAATTATTCCAACATACGGTCAGACTTAAATATCCGGAGTTTTAAAATGTTTTTAGAAAATATAAAACGATTATAAATATCACATATATATTTAAGCAAAATTATATTTGATACATTAATTTTTAATTTACTGAAATTAGTTTTTCGTATATATAGCTAAAATATATTGTTTTCACCGACAGTTTTATTGTTGTAACAAAATTAATAAATGCTCATAAAAGAACTAAAGTCACGAAGACCTTACATTTCATACTACGGTGTAATAATTTAAAATGTACTGTAACGAATTACGGCATCATAATATCAATATTGTTTTTGTCATAGGATTAATAGAATAAAAAGAAATGTTAAAAAGAAGAATTTTATAGTTTTTCTTATATTGTATTCTTCTTCTTCTTCTACCTAGCAATTTCCCAGCTATAGCCAGGGTCTGCCTTACATGTTGTGAATAGTTTTTGGCTATTTGTTTTTACGACCGGCCGCCTGCCTGACATCAACCCACTTTTGGGAATCAACATTAATCAGTGATGTCTAAATACTCTTAGAAAGTACATATAATTCGGAAAAATCACATTGGTACTTGCCCGGGCCAGGATCGAACCCGCGCCCTCGGCGACGAGAGGCGGGCCCTTTAACCACTGAGCCACCACTGATTATTTTATTATTTTTCTTATATTGTATTATTTCCTCACATTGCTCGAAGACTCCGTGGCGCAACGGTAGCGCGTCTGACTCCAGATCAGAAGGTTGCGTGTTCAAATCACGTCGGGGTCAAATGTGTCTTTTTACTTTTTTATCTAATTTTTTCTCCTTTTTTTATCCCAGTTTTGAAATTCAAAGTTCTGATAAATATAATGTTGCAAAATCAATAATAAAAAAATAATATCAGCGTTGATTTTAATCTTGCAAATCTTTACTAATAATTTTAAGTTCAAATCATTAACATTTTGGTTTTCATAAAAAATATATCATAAACTCTATTTTATAAGCACCTAATTATTACCTACATAAGTTACTTTATAGATACCATGTTTGTATCACATAATGCGCAGTACGCGACATTGTTGATTAAATATTTAATGAAACTAGGTACATTGATTGACTTTCATATAAATATAATATATGCAATTATGTCTAAACTGTATACAATCAATCAATAGAATATATTGTGACGTCAATCACTCGCATTTATTTCTAATTCCTTCATGCTAGTTATAAAAATACAGATTGTGTATCAAATATTAGAATCAACGGATGTTTTAAACACGTCAACATTATTGCTGACGACGATAAATGCAAATAGACAATTGTTTAATGATGATTATTCTAATAAATGTATTATTAAACAAACAACACAAGCAGACAGGATGTTACAACTTACAAGGAGTTTCTATTACAGGTTCCATCTCTCTAGGAGAAGGAAATAATATTAATTAATATTAATATGGGAGAGTGAACAAATCATTACGACACTTATTGTTAATACACTGCATTGCATACATTGAAGTTACTTTGAATACAGTACGTACAGTTCATTGTATTATAAGTAACTAGCTTTCCGCCCGCAGCTTCGCCGCGTGGAGTTCGGTTATATCGCGTTTCCAAGAGAACCTTTCAAAAGTCTGGGATAAAAACTATCCTATGTTCTTTCTCAAGGTCAACTCTATCTCTGTACCGAATTTCATTAAAATCAGTTCAGTGGTTTAGGCGTGAAAGCGTAGCAGACAGACAGACAGACAGAGTTACTTTCGCATTTATAATATTAGTAGGGATAGGTATAATATACTATAGTACTTCGAATTCTTCGTTCTATAGAAGTAGGTTAATTATATATGATTAAATTACCAGGTACAGTTTGTCACCAAATATAAAATTGCATGATAATCGAGGACACTAGGACTAGGACTATAATAGAATAAATTGCTTGCAATTTTGAAATTAACAATAAAAATAACTGTAATTTTATAATAATTTAAGTGACTGTCGTGTTTCTAGGACGCAGAGGTACACGAATGTAAAATGTACGGCCTTTGGTAAATAACATTCATCGCACTGCCTAAGTAAATATTTGAATTTTGATGAATCTTTGTATAATGTAAGTATATGACGATAAGAACGTTAATTTACCTAATAAAAATATGTTAAAATGCTAATACATTCAATATGTTCTATTGGTATTATTGATATTGCAAATTAATTTTTCAATGAATACCTATGTGTTATACTTAATCTAAAAGACTTCCTAGATTTCTTTTAAATTAATAAACAATAACAACCTTAAATCATTACCGTAGTCGTATGTTTTCGGAAATCTAGAGACGAATAATAAGAAACAGTTTTTTTTTATTTAAATGTTTATACACGATATTTTGTTTAACACTAATCAAACAGTTTTGGACTTTACACGTGATCACTTATCAGCATATTTACAGCGATGTGGTCATTGTTTAAGCCAAAAAATTAACATGAGAATGATATGTACTAGAATGATTCAGATATTCCTCATAAACCTAAGAACACAGCCTAGAGTTTTATAAAGAATTTGATATTTTTATTAGCAGACTGTTTGGTGAAGATAGATAAGAAGGAAACAGGCAAACAGCTCGTTGGAAGGCTATGGCCTTGAGTTAACAAGTTTCGGCTTGGCAACAACTATTCTTTTCAAACGTGTATCTAATGAAAGTTTTTGGTTAAATTAAATTAGCAACCGAATACGTAGTTTTAGTTTTATGGATATAGTTCTTATAACTTAACCTTGGTAACTGATACTTTGTATGTTGGCAATCAATGACGTAAAGCAGTTGACGCAGATCGTCTAATGTTCCTCAATAATTCTTTATTACTGTCAATTAAATTTTTGGTGAACTTTTCGGTTCAATTGACCCTCGTTTAAGTGAGTGGCGTGCGTGAGCGCAGTCACACCCACATCCATATGTCAACATTTACATTGCTAATAAATTTCCGTGTGCGTTCGGGTTTATGTATTTTAAATAAATAATTAAAGAATTATTTCCAACGTGCATACAGCGACTGTTTGAATTGTATAAGGATACA